TTCGGCGATCCATTTTCACTTTCGGTTTTTGGTCGACAATCCACTTTTAATTTACCTTTTTCAGAAAATTTAACCATAATTTCATATTACAAAATTATACGATTGATCACATGTAAGGCAATCCGCAATGGGATGTTGGTCATTTATGTTTAATTCTTACTAAGGAACTCTTCGGTGAAGTTCCACTCTTGTAAAAATTTGCTTAAAGAAACAATTATGTTAACAACTCTAAATGAAATGAACAGAGAATGGCCTGGTGCAGTTAACCAAAAAGCGAATCATTATTTCAAAAGCCTTAAATAAAAGCAATTGGATCTTCTTTATTAATATATATTCTTCATGCCCATCATTATATAAACCCTTTATCGTGCAAGTTTTACCATCATTAATTCAAAGCAACTCTTCTTCTTGTGTTTGCTCAATTTTCTTCAAATCTTTTTTCTCTCTTTCGGTTTTGTCCAAATCATGGCTCGCTTCAGTATGGTTCTAGTCGTGGCTCTTTGCGTCACAATCTTTGTCCTACCCGATCCAACCACCGCGCAGCTAAGCCGCAATTTCTACTCCAAAACTTGCCCCAACATCGAACAAATTGTGAGAAACGTTGTCCAAAAGAAAGTAAAGCAGACATTCGTCACCATCCCTGCCACACTCCGTCTCTTCTTCCACGATTGCTTTGTCAATGTACGTTTTCATATCCTTTTTTCCTTCAACTTCATTATCCAATTAATAGGTTTCTTAGTTATATTTTGGGGTAACTCGCATTGTAGGGTTGTGATGCCTCAGTTATGATTCAATCTACACCTAAGAACAAGGCGGAGAAGGATCATCCCGACAATGTTTCCTTGGCCGGAGATGGATTTGATGTGGTGATCCAAGCTAAGAAAGCCCTTGACGCTAACCCTCGTTGCCGGAACAAGGTCTCATGCGCTGATATTCTAACATTGGCCACCAGAGATGTCGTTGTTGCTGTAAGTAAACTTACTTTTAACTATAAATTAAAAAGGTACAACGCATTATTGCTTGTTTTGGAATGTTTTAAGAAACAAGGTTTCACGCATGTATATAGGCTGGAGGACCATCCTATGAAGTCGAGCTTGGTAGGTTCGATGGATTGGTATCAACTGCATCTAGCGTCCAAGGAAACTTACCAGGACCTTCTGACAATGTAAACAAACTTAACGCTCTTTTCAAGAAAAACAAACTTACCCAAGAAGATATGATCGCTCTTTCAGGTAAATCAACTTAAAAAATATTATAACATTGTAATAAATGCAAACGTAAAATACATGTATTTTACAGTCTATCACCAAAATACATTGATAACTAAACCGATGAGATTCATAATGTTGTAGCGGCTCACACACTTGGATTCGCACATTGCGGCAAAGTCTTCAAGAGAATCTACAACTTCAACCGTACGATGTCCGTTGACCCCACACTAAACAAGGCATACGCTAAGGATCTACAAATGGCTTGTCCTAAGAATGTGGACCCGAGAATCGCGATCAACATGGATCCAGTCACGCCCAAGAAGTTCGACAACGTTTACTTCAAGAACCTTCAACAAGGCAAAGGTCTATTCACATCCGATCAAGTTCTCTTCACCGATGGCCGCTCAAGGCCCACCGTTAATGCTTGGGCCAGAGACTCTAAAGCGTTTAACCGCGCGTTTGTGACCGCTATGACCAAACTCGGTCGCGTTGGGGTTAAGAATAGCCGTAATGGAAATATCCGTCGTGACTGTGGTGCGTTTAACTAGAAGACATCATGATGCCGATATTGATGATGGGAAAATATAATTTATATTGTCCCCGTATTTTTTTTTTTTTTTTTGTTATCCAATTCAACATATTTTCTTTTCGTTTGACTAATCTTTGGACTTCAATTCTTGGTCATGATGATTTATTATTGTTTTTAATTTGTTGTGCTTTTTATCTTTATTTAAGAAAATTAATTGTATTTCATTTTCTCTATTTTGTATAATCCACTATTTTTTCATGAGCTGTAGAAGCCTATATATAGCCTTCTCTGAAATCATATATAGTTTTGCTATTACTTATCAGATATGGTTCTCTCTTCTTTGCCGACACATGATACTTTGTACATATAATTATCACTCGAGTGATTAACTAAAGCGCAACGTTAACAAAAAATTGCAAATTTTTCATGCGATTATCAATTTCAAAACATCAAAACAAACATTTCTTTACATGTAAATTGAAACTTTCAGCACTAATGGTGCTATAATTACGGTAAAAGTTGTAGGTTACTAATAGTGATTAAATATAGATTACATGTACTATACTCTCTCTGTTTCATTATAATTGATTTTCTGAATATTTGCACACAGATTAAGAAAACTATAAATGTTCAATTATTTGCTGTTTATTTTGTTTAATTAGGTTACTTTTACAACTAATTTCATTACTTTTATTAATATTACTGATTTTTACTTCAACTTGGGCTTTTCATCTCCTCTCTTTTAATTAATGCTTATAATTAATAAGTTTTGTAAAGCAACATGCATTAATATGATTCATTCAACTTAAAGAAGAGATGTGCATTAATTAGAGGTAGGAAATCAAATATTATGAAACAAGAAAAAAAACTTAAAAAATCAACTATAATGAAACAGAGGAAGTATAAACTAAATTTAGCACTAGTTTGCAAAAATGACGTGGTACTAAGAACATCCACAACGAAGATGTTTAGATCGATGTTTAACTCAAAAAATAAATCTAAAATAAAATAAATTGAAGAAGCGATGCTTAAATAAAAGAGTTAAATGACTGAATACCAATGGATGAAAATTAAATTTAGGAAATAGGAAACATAGTTTATAAACGAAGTAAATACAATTTACCAAATTCATGGTATCCAGAAATGCCCCTACATTTATGAAAAGAAGTCTTTGCAAAAGCATTTATTGCTTATTCTTTTTGTGGGGACAGACAATATTAAAGTACAATGGAATTTTGAAGAGATCCTATACTATTTGGCCTCCTAATCTTGACTGTCCATTAAAAATTTTTTAGAATTTTTTTTATCTCCGTTAGCGTACAAAAATGAAACCAGATAGTTTACCTTCCATATTAATGGTGATAACATTGTTGTCTGCATAACCATTTAGAGAAGTTAAACACAGAAAGATAAAGAGAATTATTATAAAAATATTGTCAGATAACTTAACATACACTGATAATATGGTTGCTTTATGTTTTTGTTGTCATTGTATAACTGAATGTATATAATAAAATAAAGATATTGACAGATAACTTAATGAGGCCAATATCCTTAGATGGTTAGAGGAACTCGTACTCAGGAAGAGGTAAATAGGATTATTACTTTTGATTAGTAAAGTGTGTTGTTATCTGATTAACATAGTTAATTGTTAACAGTTAATTGTTAACATTATAAGTTATCTAATAAATTATGTTATCTGATATGTTGTTTATTGTTATCAGAGAAATCTGGTTCTGATTTATCATCTAGTATTGTATTTAAAAATGTTCATCGTATAGGTGGATATAAATCTTAAATACTTAGTTATCCATAGATCTGTTATGGTTATTGAGTTAACAGCTGAGAGTGCATTTTGGTAATTTTGTTTGCAGATAACTTGATTGTCAGCTCATGTGTAATGTAAACGCAAATATGCTAGTTAACCCCAACTCAAAGACTCGAAGGGAAACATACAACACAACCAGCCTAAAAGTATGTGTAACTTTTTCAAATATAATGTTTATCTGACCAGATAACTTGTTTGTGGAGAAAACAACAAAAACAAAGAGTATAAAAGTCGATCTCGTCTTTCCAAAGCAGCTACAAGATCTTGGATTATGCTAAATTTTTGATATGTAATGATTCTTTGGCCCCAAGGCTTATCTCCGGCGGATACAATCCTTTTCGGTAAATCGGTTACCGACATCTGCAAAAAACTCCAACCAATAAAATGAAATCAAAATCCTTTAATCAAAGATAAACAGAATAGAGATGGTGCTAGTCATATTACCTTCAATGCGGCTTGACTTTCTGAATTTCCTCTGACAAATCAATATCATGCACAAATTTATGCTCGTCGGCGACACTAAAAATCGATAGGGGTTTTTTTTAGAGAACAGATACAATGGCAATTTATTCTTTAGTATAAAAATCATATGCTCTTACCCCAACTAAAAATATTTAATTTTTAAAAATTAAAAATCTCCAAGAATTGGATATTGTTGTCGTGCGAATTGACACACACAACAAATATTGGGCTCCATCTCATAGCAAAAAGAGATATGAATGCATATTTGAATAGGGATTTGTATGTTTTTTTATCATGAACAGTTTACATGAACAGTAAAATGTTTTTAAGGAATTAATTTTCATAGTTTCTATAGGCAATTGGTGCAATTACTCTAAATCAAATCAAATAAGCATCGATGCTTTAGGGTACGTGGGGTTTGTTTATTGGATAAATAGAAAAGAAGTAATGTTTATGGGTATTTGTTTTCTCTCTCCTCATTTTCTCTTTTCTCCTTTTCTTTTTCTTCATTTTCTCTCTTTTCCTTCTCTTAAATTTAATATTATTTTATTACTAAGCATTCCTAAATCGATGTTAGCGCTCTAATAAATGACGTGGTACTATATAACCGGTGACATAATCGTAAAAAGTAAAAAGTTACTTTTGTGCGTCGTCATTTTTGCAAACAATATATGATTTCGATGTCCTTTAAACAAATGGCATGTTATTTTATTCAATGACACCCTATTGTAATTAGGTTATTTGATTACAAGAGTGAAAAACAATAATTATTTCTTGTTGAAGATTTTGCCATTGTATCATTTGCAAATAGGTGCCAAATTTAAGCTAACCCTTGAATTTAACAATGTGTTTTAAATCTTCAATCAAAGTAATACTGAAACTAGACTAAAAGAAATAATAAAAATTGTAATTAGATCAGAAATCAGAGCAATACTAGTCTACTACTATCCAATCAATTAATCAAACCCGATTAAACCGGTACCCAAACAGTAGCAAACACAACACTATGACCTTTCCACGTCAGCACAAGACTCTCGTCGTCATCGTCCTTCTTCATCCCCCATCCAACGCCGTGCTCCTCCAGCATCGCCTTCAAATCAGCAACCGCCTCTTCCTTAACCCTAACGCCACCGAACTCAGCTTCTCTCATCCTCTCAATCCACCGTCTCTTCGTCTCCGTTCTCTCCACCCTCTCCGCACCTTCCTTCGCCACCACGTTTTCTATCTTCCAGCTTATCTCCGCCTCGTACCACCGTCTCTTCTCGCTCACAAACGTGTCCGTCGTATCAAAAGGGATCCAGAAGTAGTTAAACGCCGATCTCAACCTCGAAACAAGATCCTCCGATGTGAGATCCGCGTCTTCTTCTATTAGGGTTACGATCGTTGGGTTCAAAGAACGAAGCTGTTTCAAGAAAATGTTCCGGAGAGATAAAGACGAAGAAGAAGGAGTTAGGGTTTCGTCTGGGATGTAACGGAGCATCATGTGACAGTTAACGACGAGTGCTTCGTTGAACGAAAAAGGGTAGATTCGTAATTGTTGGAGTAAGGAGGAGAAGCCATCGGAGTGTGTCGAAGGTATGATTGAGAACTCCATTTCTATGTTTCTCGTGGTGGCGAAGTTTACGAGTTTTGATCCGAGCTCTTCGTAAGAGACGTTGATGAACGGAGGGAAGGTGGAGGAAGAGACGACGGTGAGTTTTAGAAGCGGAGGTTTGTTGAGTTTGCTTGCCATGGCGTCTATGAGAGTAGGGATTTGCATACAGTGAGTCAAACTTAAGTCAACGATGTGAACCGTAGAGTAACCTTCCACGGCGGTTAAGATAGCCGCGTTGGCCGCGATGTAACCGAACCGGTGCCAGGGAGTGAGGTCGACGAAGCCGGCGAGCTCCACGACTGAGAACCGGTGGAGTTCAGTGGCTGGCGGTTGGAAGACGGTGGAGAAGAGTGTGGGGGATTTGGTGACGGCGCGTGAGAGTAACGCGCGGACGAAGGCGGAGGTGAGGCGTTTGGTGGAGGAGTCGCCGTCTTGTGGGGCGATGTTGTTGAGGACCCAGAGGATTTGGTGAGACAATGCGGCGTCGTTTGAGTCTATGGCGGTGGCGCAGTGGAGGAGGAGCTGTTCCATGAAGCTGGCGTGGCCGCCGCCGCCGCCGCCGCCGCCGGAGCGTAGGGATTTGGGAGGAGGGAATCGGGTCGGGTTGAGAATCCGGGTTTTGGTCATTTGAGTCCGGTTTTGCAGAACTGTTTTCATATATTAATCTCTTCCTCTTGTGGTTTGTGAAACAAAAAGAACAATAAGAGTAGGGAAGGTGGAGAAAATGACATATCCATAATTTTATGTATATGTTTGGTTATTAAATTAATTTTTGAGTATTTGAATTTTCTGAAAAGTGAGGAATAGAGAGAAAGGAGACAAATGAGAGGGATGAAGAATGAAAGAGACGAGACATGCAGGACAGAGTCGTGTATGTAGTAACCTTATCATTGGGAAACGCACCGTTTCGGTCGTTTATGTAAGACACAAATCTATGCAAGAGCAGCTTTTTTTCAATATATAAGATATATATAATCTAGGCATCTAGCTAGCTGATGAGTGTCTCTTTGTATACTTCTATATTTGTGTAATATATGTCTGAAATAGCTAAATATAGGAATCTATATAGGGTGCACTTTGTGAACAATATAGTGATTTTGGGGAAAGTATTATTGACTAGAATCATAGTAAGTTCCATAAATATGTGATACAATGAAGTTTATTATAGTTATAGAAAGAATAATACAGAAGGGGAAAACTGAAAAGGAGTACTGCTTGAAGGTGGGTGACATGTGAGTAAGTGGCAGGGTTTGTATTGTATTTATTTGTGTAAGTACGGCTGAGTTTTTTTGTCATCTAGGTTGCTATTATTCTCCTTTTCGCCGCACTATCGCATTCATAAATAAAATCACTGCATATGCACTTTTCAAAAACGAAAAATATATACTCCCTCTGTTTAGAATTATTTGATGTTTCAGAAGTTTTTTTTGTTCAGAATTATTTGATGTTTTCATTTTTCAATGCAAAATTTAATGAATTTTTATAGTTTTTGATATTTTATATTCTGCAGATTGTCTTTTTATTGGCTGAATGATATTTAAATAGATTATAAATAATATTTTTAGTATAGGAAAAATAAAAATTAAATGAATCTTTAAACTGTGTGCAAAAACCTTAAACATCAAATAATTCTGAACAGAGAGAGTATAAATTAAAACCACACGATTGATTATATGATACTGGTCCGTCTGTACTGAGCATTTTGGACATTATTAAATTCAAAATTTAGATGTCGAAACAATCTATATGGATTATGGAGCATAGGAACTTGGAAATTTAATTAATAATAATAATAATTGTTATTTGAAATGCTGTTTGAAGTTGAATATGTCCATATTTAGAAAAATTACAAACCTGTCTAGCAATATAGACTATACATCTCTGATCTCTCGTAATAGTTGTGTGGAATAAAATTGAACTAGACTTATACAGACAGAAATGTTAGGAAGGATACGAGAAGGATAACATACATTTAAGTGGGGGCTACAAAAATGAATAAAATCGTTATAAATTTAGGAATATTTGAGCCAATGAAGGAGATTTTTGGGCCTCATCATGATGAGTCTTGAGACAGATTGAACCCTGATCAATTTCACTGAATATTTTCGCGTTTTGACAATATATGCATTTTGAATATATACAATCGAAGAATGTATTAGAAACTGTACGAATTAATGTATTAGAAATTGTACGAATTAATTGTGCATAATTTTTTTTGTGAATACCTTTGTCTCGACGTTGAAAAATCATTCTTAAATCCACTAGATCACTTCGCTGAGCTTCTTTCCCTCTCTAAAATTCTATGTTAATGCTTGAAAACCGCCAATCAGAACAAATACTTTGCCATCACCTAATTCAAGTAACTTATCTTCATCAATACTGAAATTCTAAACACCTTTCATCCATCTTGAATGGAATTATTAGGTATAGATTTATGTATTGAGTTGGTTATGTCAAGCCGGTTTGTTACTTGTTTAATTCTATGAACACAAAATTTTCAACAAGCTTACAAGAAAACAGTTAATTGGCGACGACATTTAGCGACTGATTTGGCAGTTGCTACCTGTTACGACTAATTGGCGACTGATTTGCCTCCAATTTACGTCTCATAAAATTCAGTCGGTAATTAGTCGCTAATTAGCGACTAAGTAAAACAGTCGTAACTTGGTCAGTATTTAACGACTAATTTAACGACTAATTTACGGTAGTCGGGAATTGGTGACTACTTTGCGACTACATTTCGGCCCAAAATATAAAAAAAAATGTAAACAAAGCCCAAATCCATTTAAACACTCGAGAAATCTCACCAAAAATTCGAGAACCCTAACCACTTAACAAAAATTCCCCAAATTCCTTCGACGAAACCCTAATCCCCTTTCTCTCCCAACCCAGAAATCTCACCAAAAATCCCCAAATCCCCAATTAGCAACTTTCGTTCTTCAACGATTAGAGGATGGGTGGTCGTGGTGGAAGGAAGAGAGGACGAGGCAGAGGAGGTGTGGCACCGTCGCAAGCCAGATCGTCGTCGCCTCTGCCAGGTCGTTACGACTTCACGCCCTCGCCATCGCCGCCGGTTGTCCCCACGCAGCAACCATCAGTATCCGTGAGGGATTATCCACCACCGGCGCAGTTGTTCCCGAACTCGCAGAATCCACATCGAGGACCAGAGTCTCGATCTCACGAGCAACCATCTCCACACGGTCAACAGCAACCATCTCCACGCGGTCAACAGCAACCTGTCTCTCAACAACAACACGAGCAAGCTTCTGACGCTCAAAGTGTATTTCCGGAAGAAGAAGAAGAAGCTCTATTCTCGGTGAATCTAGCGGAAGACCAGCAACGAATTCTCAATGCCTTGCTCACTCAGCCTGGCAGGGAAGCATACACCACAGTCCTCTCTCCCATAAAGAAGCCGAACACAACATAGTATGATTTCAAGTAATCTAATTGCATAGTTTAGGGTTTTTTGGCTAGAATTTGTATGATTGTTTAGAGTTGTTAGGGTACTTGGCTTAGAATTGTTATGATTTAGGGTTTAGAGTTGTTATGGTACTTGGCTTAGATTTGTTAGAATTGTTATGGTACTTAGCTTAGATTTATGGACTTGGTATAACTTTTGTTAGCTTCGATTTATGGACTGTTTATTTTCTTATCTTAGTATTGGGTTTAGGATTGTAACTGTTTCTTTACTTTATTGTGTGCTTGCAGGTTTGGGCGTGACAAGTCTTCCCTTACTCGGAAGATAACAAAAAATTTATGTAACAAGTTCGATGGCCCATTTTATAGCTGGACATGTGTGCCTCGGGAGAGACAGGAAAGATTTTTTGTTGAATTCGCGGTAAGGTTCTCTATCCATATTCTCCTTTTTTGTGTTGATACATATGAGCCATTTGTTTTTTATTGCTCACTAACATCATCTTCTCTATTTTTTTGGTAGAAAACCCACACTTGGGATCCTTTATTAACCGGTGTGGTTCAAGAAAGGTTTGAGAGAGTATGTCTCCTCCGGATGAAAGACATGGTCAGCAAGGTTAGGGCTTCTCGAGAACAACCAAACTGGACTGGAGATACTCTTTGGAAACAAATGACAGAGTATTGGGACACTGAAGAAGCCAAAGAGAAGAGTTCCACCACATCAGCTGCTCGGATGTCTGAGCATAATGGACTTGGTCCTCATGTTCACTTCTCAGGGCAGAATTCATGCCTCCAAATCCAACAAGAAATGGTAAGTATATCAATTTTTAACTTTCTCATAAGTTATATATCATTTTTAGTCAGATGGGAACTAACTCTTTCTTTATATTGTTATCATTTCAGGAAGAAGAGTTGGAAAGACCGGTGAGCCTTGGTGAAGTTTTCATCAAGGTTCATACAAAACGAGATGGAACGTTTGTAGACCGAAAGTCCAAGACTGTGGCTGAGGCTTATAGGAAGAACCTGGAATCCAAGTTGGCAATTCGCGGGATAGACTCAGAGACTTCAGATGGTACTTCACCATCGTTGGGGCTAACCATAGAAGAGGAGAATGAGATTTTTCTTCAGGTAAAGTCTTCGTTTTTTATTTTTGATGTGTTCTTTTATATTATGCTTTGCTTCTATAGCTTTCAAGTTGTTATTTTGTTTGATGCTTTGATGTTAATATATATGCATTGATGCTTTGATCCTTATTTTGTTTTTGCAGTCGACTTTCATAAATGAGCGAGGTATTCCTTATGGAATTGGAAGTCTTTCAGAGACACATGTCAATGGAAAGAGGAAAAGCTCAGGAAGCTCTTCAACATACAAGGGATTAGAAGAGCAGCTACAAGAAGCTCATCGCAAAATAGAAGAACAAGCGGCTGAGAACTCCAAGCGTGAAGCAGAGCAACAAGCCAAGCTGGACAAGTTATCTATGGTGGAGAAGTATTTGACTGAAACTGATCCAAAGTTCATGGATTTTTTGGCTGCAAATCAAACTCTTCCAAGTGATCAAACTCACTCTTAAGGTTTTTCTATGTCTCTTTTTTAAGTATCTCGGCTCACTCTTTTGAACTTATCTCAATGGTTAAGTATGTAACCATTTGATCTTTGTTTAGTACCTTTTGGAACAATGGTTTTATGTCTTTTTTTTAAACAATGGTATTATGTAATATAATGACTTTTTGCATTTTACATTTGAATATTTTTTTGCTGTTAAATTGTTATTTAAAATGTAGAATGGATTCAAATTATCAGATTTGGAAGAATCTAATCGTAAAACTAGATTTTGTTTTCATTTATTGAAGCCGTCGCAATGCAGTCGTAAATCAGTCGGAATACAGTCATAAATACGTCGCAAAACAGTCGTTAAATTGCACCAAATATCATTCAATTATCGAACCATATGGTCGCCATTCAGTCGCAAAAACAGTCGTCAATCAGTCGCTAAGGTAACGACTACTTTGTGACTGATTAACTTCGTCAACATTTAGTTGTTATTCAGTCGGTATTTGGCGACTGATAGGCGATTAATTGATTTAGCGACTCAATATTAGCGACTGATGTTATTAGTCGGAACTCGGTCATAAATTTAGTGTTAGCGACTAATTAGCAACTGTATATGAGGTCGCTAAATCTCTATTTTCTTGTAGTGTATCTATATAAGCGTTTATATGTCTTCAAGCAAATTGCCCACTTTACACCGCAAAATGTTGCTTGCGTGCAACAGAAGGAAGCCGAGCTCTCTTCTCTCCCATTGGTTCATTTATCTCATCACTATACAAAATAGTCGAAAATTCCGACAGACAGTTTACGCACGATGAATAACATAACAGATGCCGTTTAAAAAAAAAAAAAAAGAAAGAATAACGTAACATATACTGTACTTCGATTAACTAGACATGCCCACGAGCCACCTAACGGAGCTTCATAAGTATCGTCCATTGGGCTTAATCAAAATATTACATAGTGAAATTTCAAGCCCATCTGGGCTATTAAATTATTTGTAATAACTTCTTTCTTTTCCGATAATATACAAGTAGAGAGCATGTCCTTTTCTTCTAATTTTTTTTTGCTAAACTGAGAGCATGTCCATTGCCATTGCCATACTATATTGGAAAGTAAAAAAAATTATACTTAGACCATGATTAGTGAACTCCTCTGAAATATTTATCCAGAACTATAAAATACTTTTTTTTTGAAATTCGAAAATTAAAAAAAAAATCATTCAATCATATCGTACCACCTGGATAAGAATTGGGTTCTTTAAAATCATCGAACCGATCTTTCATAATTGAGCTTTAATTATTTTTTTTTAATTTTAAAATATTTATGAACTCGAGCCATGAATCCCTAATGGACATGCTCTTATCCTCTTAATTTTTCACTTTTTCTCCAACAATTACTAATTTAGAAGTGAACAATGGAATTTGAAACTCATGTTCCTGTTAATGCCTTTCGTTTTCTAATTTGCAGTAAAAACACATTTAGAGACCGTTCAATTAACTGATTAGTCACTGACAGTTGACCAACGGTATTAATGGTCATTAGATGATTAGTAACGTAGCAAAGTAAAATTCACAAGAGTGACAAGACAACAATTTTATTTATAATATTCCGAAAAAAAAAAGATTAGTCAAATATCGGACGCTATTGTAGGGCCCAAAGGTAAAGAGTGGATAATATGTTCCAGCGATGAGGGAACCAGTCACGTGAAAGTCACGTGTCGGATCCACTTAACTTAAGAGTCCTTGTCGCGATCTCTCCCAAATCTTCACCGATCCGCTCCTCCAAAGTCTCGTTGACATTTACAAAAACACCCTTCACAAAAGATTATGATTCGCAATCCGCAAAAGATGTTTGTGACGTTATTTACTCAATCATACTATAAAACTTGAATCAATCAGACATTAGAAGAATCGATAAAGAAAAACGACTTGAGTAATCTTTTTTTTTTGTCAAACTCTTTTTTTTTGCGTTATCAAAAGAATATCCGATGAGTAAAGATATGTACGGCGAATGAAAGCTTTGAAGGGGCAAGATAGCTCTTGTGTCCTCTCCTTACTCGAATAAGATCACAAAAAACCCTAAATCTGCCTGTTCATGGACGAAAAATGTAGACTAAGTTTTATGATAATCTCGATTGATAACAATAACAATTGTTAGATAGATTGTGAATTTGTGATATTGATCCGCAGGAAAAAAAAAATGTTAACTCTTGAAATAGCAAATAACGATATCAAGATTTATGGGTGCCACCTCGATTTTGAGTTATTGATTAGTGATTTAATATTCTATTTAGTCTTTAGATTTTATTAATTTTTTCGTTTTATCATTTTGATGTTCCACAGCGCGCATATTGTTTATTGTTTATTCACCTTCGTGATTTTTTTATTGATCACCATAATTTTGGAATATGGAAAAAATATTTCACAATCATATATGATGAGTACTATTATGAGCGTTTAATTAAATGTAGGTAGCTATATTGGTCGTTGAGTGGGTTTCAAATGAGAGAAGCTCTAGAAGGTAGCTAGCATTCGGAACTTTGTAAGGGAGGAAATTGATTACCAGCTTTGAAATATATCACCATTAGTATAATTTCCAATGATACTATAAATTTAATATCAAAATGACTCAATCCTTATCTAATGGAGCAATTTAAACTCTAAGTTGGAAACGAGAAATTCAAACATAAGGTTTTAATTTTTTTTGTGATTTATTTAGAGTAAACAAATATATTTATACAATAATTTGTAATATTATTAGAAACATAAACTATTGATTAGTATGTAATAGAACAGAAAATTTTAAAAATATGGTGCTTAAGTACTTCTGAAACGAAAAATTTTACAATTAGTTTCCAAGACAAAACCAAAATATTTACGTTTACCATTTTTCTATTATAGTTGTTTTTTGTCGGCTAGGTTTTTCTTAATAGATTAAATCTCATTTTTAATAACTTAAAAAAACTCATTATTACGCTTAAATTCTTAATAACTAAACTTTTGTTTGTGTTCGAAAAGTTTTAGAAAACATCAAGTGGACTTACACCGACTGAAGTGGAGGAGGTGATGAATGTATCGGGCCCATCAGAAACTGCGGCTACTCGTGGCTTTTGAATGAAACACGAATCTTGCTATCGCTAATGTTATTTTATTCTCATTTATATGTTGGACTTATGTTTATCCAAATTATTTTATATCTTATTCGTCAATTAAAGTATAAGATAGTCGTCCAGTATCATTAGCTCCATTAAAGTAGAAAAGAAACATTTAGTTCCATAAAATTTGAAATTCATGATTAGACACTAATTAGATGTAATTAACGGAGGAGATTGAAAGTTGGATGATGTAAATAAGTCCCCACTTTCACATCTCAATATTCGAGAAGATCTTTCATTAAAATCCTCATATCGCGGAACACCAAACTGTATCATGTATTTTGTTGTTTATAGTTATATTTTCTTAGAAACCTTTTTTTTTAACTGAAAACTTATGAATCCTTAAATATATACATTTTTTTTCCTACAGGTTATATATCTACAATGTTCTTGCGTACAAATCATTTTAATTTTTTTATCGTAACTAAGAAAGCTTGATAAAACTGAGAGGTTTGTTGATGATAGGATTTGAGAAACAGGGAACGGACAAAACTGAAAATGCTAACAACTTAATCTAAAGAAAAGTCTGGTGGTCATAAAAAGAAGGGAGAGTGACGTGGACCACAAGCATTTGTTTGCCAAATGGTGGTTGGTCGAAAGTGTATTTTAACTTTTAAGTAAGACCCACTTCGTAAGATTTCCAAATCACTTCTTCTGTTCGAACAAAAATCCATCCTCGATTGAGTCCTTTCAATCCATCTTTCATTTCTTTTTTAGGATAAAATTTGACATGTTTTAAAGTTTTATTTTCTTACAAAAAAAGTCACATTGATGTGCAACATATATGTTTTATGTTTCTATTTTCTAAGGATCCGAATTAAACTTTTTTCTAATAAATAACTCAAATAAACAATATGAGTGTCTTAAATATCATCGATAAAAAAAATATAACATATAAGTTATTTATGTTCGATGAATTATGTGATGGATTAATTTTCATACAAATATGCTGAAGTTTCATCGTTATTTTTTAAAATCAAATCATGTTAAATATATATATTTCAGTTTCTTCTTCATTACTGAATTTCGAACTTGGGACCTCGCCAACACAATCCTAGCTTAAATGATCATTATCGGTTGAGTTACCAACGCCAAATCTAACTTTATGCTTTGTCATGACTAATATTTTACAATGACTCCACGATTATATATATTAAGCTACGATATATGATGTTGTAATCGTAGAAAATCATTGGATAGAAAACCCTTGTTACAAAAAAAAAAATCGTGTTTTTATTAGTTTGATATTCACGAATCCTAATCAAAATTATTTATAGGTTCAGGATGTTATTGGCCTATTTCATTGTTTCGACGCCATCATCCACAAAGCACAGTAGAAATACCGTATTATTAGTTTTTAATAAAACAAAATGCGAGGAGGAAGAAGAAGAAGAAAAATGAAAAAGATTGCTTTTAAAGATTCCATGAGGGTAAGGCGTGGAAAAAACGGCTCTTTGCGTCGTCCAAAAGCCGCCTCTCCCCAAAAAGCTTTCCCTTTATAAGTTATAACCCCAACTTTTTGGTTCAATATCCAACTACATGCATTATATAATCCATATCTATTATATACATACATTTTACGTTTATATAATATACTAATACGATGTACTTATGTAATGCATGCACCTAATTGTTTTCTCAGTTATAGGTTTTATATTTTCATGCTCCAAGTATTAAGTAGGCCAATCATAGAAATTGTATTTGACATTGATATGGGTAGAAGACGTGAGACATGCCATTAGAAGAGAGGATTCTAAAATTTTGGGATGTTAAAAAAGACCTCAAGATCGTCGTGAGTGAGTGAAGAAATACAATACATTATCAATTAGTAATAATTGTCGTATCTCGGAGACTATTATTATGTATTTTATGCATGTAGCTAAAGAGTTATGACAATAAACCCGGAGATAATATACGTTTATATATTCGAGGAGCAATGAAGATAATTATCAAATTAATACCAAGTTGAGCATATTATAATCATGTGTGTATACGCGACATGTTGGTCCTTAAAGAATCGAAGTATATTGGGTGCGTAGAATTGGCCGGTGCTTCTTATTTTGGAAGATGTGTATGCATTATGTATATATTGATTTCATCCGTGATTATTATCATTATTAATGTTGAATAAATCGATAAAAACAAAGAGTAAATTAATAGCAATAATTATCATTTATCGTACACATTATCATCGTCATCTTTTAAACTTAAAATTAAGGAGAATAATGGTTATGAAGTAAAACAGTATAATTATTACACCACCGACGGATTATCATTATTCTCTCAATTAATTTAATTACTTTGATTAATTTTTCTCATTAAGTAGGGAGAAAAAAATAACGTAATAGCCGGTGTGCCACATTTCCCAAAATATTACTCCACGAAAGGGCCAAAAAAAAAAAAGTTACTCAAAATTACATTTTAACCCCAAAATCAAAAACGACACCGTTCACGCGAAAAGGTTGAGCAACTTTGTCGTTTCTCCTCCTCCGCGTACGAACCGTTCACCGGCGGAGTTATCAAACGACGCCGTCGTAACGGATTCAGCTGAGTACATCGACGGTGTTTCCGGTCGACCCATTTCTTCCTTAATCGGAAAAGTAGGGATTAGAGAGAGATCTAGCTCCGACGAGTGGTTTAGTTGCTGTTGCTGTTGCTCCGACGCTAATCGTTTACGTTTCGGCGGAGAAGCCGTCGATCTGGATCTAGAGCTCGAGAATCGAGAGTGGTGGTAGATATTCCGGTCACCGGAATCATTCAACATTTCAGTGCAGATCTCGGATGCTTCGTCGGAAGTAGGAGACGGAAACCCCCCGAATCCTCCGCCGCCGCGTGTAAGAAGCTCCGGGATCGGTCTCAAGGAACCGCCGCGAAGAACCGTCTCAACCGCCGCTTGACAGATATTCCAATTCCCCGTCCACAACAACCCGACGGCGCCGTTAACCGGATTCACAGTTCTCCCACATGCTTCGTAGAGCAAGGACTGGAACAAAGCTGTAAATGACCAAAACACCCCTAAGATCAGGGAAAATGATACAAGCTGAGATCTGAAGGAGGTTTTGGTTTTGGTTAGAAGTAAGACTTACCAGGGCACTGAGATTCGGGGACGGAGGAGATGAAGGACATGAGACCGGCACGGCCGAAGAATTTAGCGACGAAGACGGTGGCGTGGCCTTGAGCTTCGGGGGATTCGATCCATTGGATACAAGGACGGAGGATGCAATTCTCGCTGCAACCTTTCCGGAGAACACGACAACCATTGCAACTCATGTTTTATTGATCAGATTCAATATGATTAATTTAAAATGTAATATATTTTCTCTTTCTCCTGGTTTGCTATTATCTGGGAGATTCACATGAATTTTTTGAAGAAAATGAAGAAGATTTGCTTTAGGTGCAAGAAAGAGATAGATATTTACTTAGAGAGAGAGAGAGAGAGAGTGGGACAAGGGATTGAATGTTTTTGGAAGCTGAAGCAGACCAATGTGTATATATATATATAGACACATTATGATACTTGTGTAGAGGAATGGGTCATGCTTGGTTTTATTTTATTTTATTTTAATTGGATAAAATTACAAATAAAATGCCTACCACTGCAACATATATAGTTATATATATAAATGTTGTTTAGCATATTTATTAGGAGATGAATTGAATTTTATATAATTAATTTGAGTAACAAGAAAAATTATATTGCAAAACAAAATGAATTACTACTACTAATTCAGTAATTTGTTTAGTTACGTTTATGAAAATAATAATAAAATAAAAGAAAAAGGACATGGTGTGTGGTTGTTGACTAGTTGGTGATGAGGAGAGAGAGAAGGAAAAGAGAGATTCCAAGGTGATGGGTGCGAACGGCTCCGTGTCTCCGCGAATAGTTGTGCCTCCTCAACCATTGGTTCTTTTATTTTTTTACTTCTTTCACAAAAATTATTATATTCATATTTTCTTTTTTATTTCATAGATTTGTGAATGTTGCGTCATGCGTGAACGATCTCGAGTATTTGATGACAGTTGCGCACACTTAAATAGCCTTGGGTTGACATTATGGTCCGATAAATTTTCTTTAGGTTGACATTATTGTAGAATTTTCAAGTTTTTGATTCATACACAACTTTCTCAGCTGTGTAGATGGGCGATTAGCGTAGATTATCAAATGCAATGTCTTACTTAAATTCAAGATTTATATACTTATCCAATCCTCGTTAAACTAATTTTGTCTTCTTATTTTTTGTCAAAGACTAAATTTGTTTCTCCACAAAAGAAAAAAAACCCATCCATTTCCTACTGATCTCTGCTTTTATGGTTCATGTATACGTAGACTTTGTAAACAATTAATTTACTTTATTAAACCAATAAAATCGTCTTGTTTAGGGTTAAGTCTAAGCTGACCTTTCAACAAAGCAAATCCACCATCTGACCCTTAAATCATCCTCAAGGGCTTTTGATAATTTTCTATATGAAAAAATATATTTTAGAAGTAGAGAGAGAGGCTTTTGTCTACGATGCTATCTCACGTGTGTGACCAAATCAAACATTAGAATAAGCATACATTATTAATCTTTACTTTCAGTCTGCTTTCTACTCTCTTATTTGGTAATGCGGTGAAACGGCGCCGTTATGATGGCTTACGTGGGTGTCCTTACCTACTCGGCAATTAGGCAAGTTTCCACTGAATGCCGCCGTCTGTATATATTTATTTAATTCCCATGACTTCATCATTCCATTAGTAATCTTTGAAATTTCATAAATGATCACTGAACTTTACGGGTTCTAAAATATCACATCTGTTTAGACATTTAAACAGTCGATCCACACCACTGAAACTCCACAGCTTTGATCAAGAACAGCAGATGGTGTTTTATGTGGTAAGATAATGTGATGTTATTTTATAACATGGAATTTACAAACATAACGAATGATTATGTGTGGAAATCAAAAATTTAAAATTTTAGAGGCGATACACAACTTTCAGAAGGAAAGATTACTTGAATTGTCTACATTCTAACTCATAAGAGAAAGAAGGAGATGATGATAAATTATCCAAAATCAGTGAGAGTTACCCAACCCAAGGAATTCCACATTTACTAAGGACTTAAGGAGTTGTTATGTAGGTATAAATCAAAAATCAATTATCCTCAAAAGTGAAATTATTTTTTAACTACTTTCAAAAGGTCAATCGAAATGGTATTACACTTTAAACCGATTAAAAAATGGCTACTCGACGGTTACTAGGTATGGAAATAATTAAATGGTAAAAATCTGAATTACTCATTAATTATAAAAAGAAAAGAAAAAGTAAATTGTTGTGAAAACTTAGAAACTTTATTAATCACTGGAATGTATATATAGAGTACATAGGGAATCTAGGTTAAGTACAATGCCCTGATGGGCCTAATGGGCCGGTATAAGAGTCCATATATGATATGTGTTATAACACTCCCCCTTGGACGAGTGAACCGGGTCAGCTACTCAATCGGGATCTCGATAATGCGCTGGGGAATGTTGCCTCATTAAAACCTTACCAGGAAAAACCCAGTGGGACAAAACCATGGTGAAGGAAAAAGAGTACAACACGCATTACTCCCCCTGATTGTAGCATCACTGCAGATCTCTAAGTCTATACATCGTCTAACATTTTCTAACTCTAACATGCACCTATGAGCTTTTGGCTGTGGACCAATTGGAGAAGCTTTGAATTACCGTATTATAAATTTATAACATATATTGATATCATATTTAGACAAATCTTCCTTTGTTCCAAAATCTGTTTCACGCAGAGTTCTGATTCAAAATTAACACCTGGGCTATTCATATAGTTGGGCTAAATTTTATCACCTATTAGATATGACCCACTATGGGATCTGCTACAGATTTCTTATGGTCCAAACAATGAGTCGTTGGTGCATTACACCATATGAGCAGAACCACTGCAAAAGTAATTTGGATATTATTGGATCATACGACTGCTTTAGGCCCCTTAACATACTTGCAAGTTACAATTTACCCAAGAAAATTGGTGAAATTCTTAAGTTTGCCTACAACTATGAACAAGACAATATTTGCCAATTGGCTAGAATTCCTATATTTCTAATGAAAATCTCTGATTAAAATGCTGATATGAAAATGTTTCACGATTGATGTTTTCCATGGCAACCCCGATTAGAACTGATTTATGAGTCACGCTAGGGATTTCAGCCGGACACAATTGTAGATTTCAGCCGGTTTACGATTCGACAATCAACATGGACAACTTAATTTTAGAATTTGTTTCAGTGATTATTTTAGAAAGTAAACTGGAATCAACATTTTAAATTTCAGAGATACAGTTTAAATGTTGAGAAAAAGGTAAAGAAGTCAATTTTCAGTGTCATAAAGGAAGTCAAGTATTTGTCTGTATATATGGCCATTTAATTCAGAGAATACCCAATATATATATAATTTTCTTCGGAATGATCTTTTTCTTAGAAGATTACTACATAAGAACTGAGATTGATTTGGACGTGTAAGATATTTCGTAACAAGTTTATAATAATAAATAGACTCCAAAAAACTCATGAAAACGAAATAATTCAGATTTATAAAAATATAATTTAAAGCGTGGAGGGAAGTGTGAGTGCCAACCAATTAAAAGATAATAGTAATCAAAGACGACAAGACACTTAAGGATTAGCTTCGTTAGGTACTACTAACCGATCTATCGCTACTTCAATAATTAATACAAACATAACCAAAACTAATACTATTTCTCCTATCAAAACATGTTAGTTCAAAATAGAAATTGATTATTTAAACATTAAAAATGATTAATTAAATATTTAATCGTAAGGAACAGATCACTTCAAGCTGGGAGTGACTGTCAGATTCACAGAAGTGGCTCCTTTGCTTGCGGAATTAGTAAATGAAAAATTCAACAAATAATGGGAAAAAAAAACAGAAGGAAATTTCCAAGAAACAGAAGTTTCATTATATTCCATTTCTTTTTTTAATTATTATTTCTTATCAAGGTAAAATATAATAAAAATCCAAATATATCCCCCTTTTTTACTTTGTATAAACAAAACCCAACAAAATCCAAACATTTGAAGATTTTTTCCCTTTTCGTATACGTAAGAAAGAAGAAAATTAATAATAATCCAAAGTCCACTCCAATCATTTTCATTACAGACTCAGCATCTCAGCTAATGATCGATCACTAGCTATAGCCGATCGGTAAAAAAATTTAAAAAAAGAAAAAAAAAATCATAACGCCGACTTTGTTTCTTCGCCGGAGAGTTGACTTTTTCCAAGTGTCTGATCGCTAAATACATCCAATACTTGATCAGCCGGTAAGTTCAGGTCAAACCCGTGATTATTACTACCGTTACCGTTACTGTTACTGTTACCGTTACCACCTTCGTAATGACACCGTTTGTGACCGCCCAATGCTTGACCAGAAGGAAACGACTTGAAACAGATAGAGCACTTATGAGTCTTCCCACTTTGACCAACTAAACCGTTACTAATATTTCCGTTATTAATAACGGAACCGTTACTGTTGTTATTACCCTCGTCGTTGCTGTTATTATTATTACTAACCGGTTTCCGGTGACTGGTTTTGTGTCCACCTAACGCTTGGTAAGACGGGAAAGATTTTCCACAGACGGAGCACTTGTAGTCTCGGTGGTGATGATCGGACGGTGGAGGAAGAGGAGGAGAGTGATGATGATGATCATCATCGGAGGAGCCACGAGCGAGCATAAGGAGACATAGAGCAAGATACTCTTCTTCAGAAGGAGGGTTTGATTGATCTATCATACGGTGGCGTTTTGTGCGTTTTCTTTTGGTCCATGAATCGAGATTTTCGGGCTCGGTTAGAAACGACGGAGGATCAGTGGTGGTGGTGGTGGAGGTCGGAGAATTGAGAGCTTCGAGAGCCATATTGTCTCTTGATGATTTAGAGAGAATTTTTTTTATGAAAGAAACAAAAAAGAGGAAAGAAAGATAAAAAGGATTAGAGAGAGTGAAGTGAGCTGGTGAAGGGGAGTGAGATGAGATGTGAGCACGTCTTTGTTATAATTTTTGGGTGATTAAGAGTGGGAACGTGGGCTCTAAGTGATCAAGTGGTGCCTTCTTCTCTTTATTTCTCCATATCCATTAATATCTCATCCTATTTCCCATCTTTCATAATTATGTATAAATATATTACTTACATACATTTTTAACAGCTTACTGTATACATAAATTATTTATATATAGAGATATCCATAAAACATATAAAGAACATGAAAATCCAGATTAAGTATGTATGATCGTTGCTAATATGTGAAAATGTTTTTAAAGATAAATAAACGACAAAAGAATCTGAAAAAAAGCTATCTTTTTCAACAACACCAGCTTATTTTCTTATAATGCTTAATCTAAGAATGACTATTTTAAAATGATTTGCGGTGTGGAAAAATCATGTAACTATATATGTATTAGAGTCTAACATCAAACTTTATTGAGAATCCGAAAAAAAGAAACACATTCACAAAGATGGAAAACTAAAGTACTTATCAAAGTTGTGCCAGTTTTGGCGATAGGTAGCAGTCCAAATCATGAGCTGATCTAGTTCAATTTATTCTCTTTTATTATTATTAGCAAGGATTTATATATATACTCGAGAAAGAGGACAATTACAAAAACAAAATCTACATGAATAATCAATTAACTCTTAAAAAATATTTACTAAAATTAAAAATCATCCCCACAAGATTTTACATCTTTGTGTTATTAAAAAGATGATACAAGTAACAATATTTTACTTTTGTAAATCACACACAATGCTTGATTGAGGAATGTATTTCACTATGTAAAAGCTATAAATTAAAGAGAGGGAGGCATAAAATGCGACAAGTGTTGTTGATGAAGTTTTTTGTGTTTGCCAATCTCTTCGGAGTTAGTTTAAAGGTTTGGCCATAGCGAATCTTTTCACCTGTGATGTGTGGTGTTTGGTCATAGCTAAGCTGTCAAGTTTCATTGGTTAGATTATTTTAGTTGAGACACGTGGTTTGTTATGTATGGTGGAAGTGGATGGGATTTGGTCGAGACTTAAAAAAGACGGTACGAGACTTTCTTAAGGCCCATGGTTGTGCTCACCCACTTCACTCTCTCTATCTTCTTCTCTTTTTTTTTGTAATACTTTATTTACTAAATAAAAAACTTTGGAACCAAGATTCAATTCACTCAAACCAATATCACAACAAGATTTACATATAAAAAACATCAAAACTATAAAGAAACTTCATTGAGAAGCCGAAAAAAAAAAGAAATCTGGCTTTCTCGTAAGCTGTAGTAGATGAGCCATCTAAAAGCCCAATGGGCTCGCCACAATGGTGTTTATTGAAAAAGAAAAAAAAAACAATATGGCTTCGCCCGGGTTCGAACCGGAGACCTTCAGTGTGTTAGACTGACGTGATAACCAACTACACCACGAAACCATTTCTGTTCACGATTAGCATGTTATTATATATAATTCTATCTTCTTGACTCCACCCTCCTCCATATTTGCACCTTCTGGATTCTCTCTCTCGCAACTTCTGTACTCCTGAAATCTTTGTTGCCGATCTCTCGATTTCTCCGATCACCATGAGTAAGGGACCGGGACTCTTTGCCGACATCGGCAAAAAAGCGAAAGGTAAATCTTACATTCTTCATCCCCAGTGGTTTTTTTTTATTTCGAGTAAATATCGCCATGATTATGAAACTGTTGATTGATGTTTCAGCGTAGATTGATGAAATCTGGCTTCCTCGTAAGCTGATTTCGTATGTTTTCCTTTTGTGTTAGATCTGTTGACGAGAGACTACAGTACCGATCAGAAATTCAGTATTTCCACCAACAGTGTCTCTGGCTTGGTAAGTTTGAGCCTCCCGATTCAACAGTGCCATGGCTTTAGAGTCTGGATCATGTTCTTCTTCCCAATTTTAGTTTGCAGGATTTTCGATTTCACATTGATGCGTGGTTTCATATGGTTTTAGCAACAAGTATTTTTCCAAAATTTCGACGAGTCAACAAGTGTTTGAGAATTTTGAAGGCATTTGAGAAACATGATGATCCTGGGAAGCATATTAGTTTGATGTTTGATATATAGATTGAATTCGAAGTCGATCTTGATAAGCGGCTTGTTCTTTTGTCATTTGGTTAGGAATCGACTCAGTTCTGGATTTATTGCAAGTAGCAATAACAAGCTGATGAACAATTACATGAATAGCTAATAATATTGGATTATCAGCTACTTTACTCGCTGAAATGGCTGCATTGCATTCACTGACCCTTTGTCTTCTTGTACTGTTCTATATAGGCTCTTACTTCCACTACTCTTAAGAAAGGAGTAGTACATGCTGCTGATGTTGCTACACAGTACAAGTACAGAAACGCTTTGTTCGATGTCAAGATCGACACTGATTCGAATGTAAAGTCCTCGTTTGATCCGCTTAACAACTTTTGTTTTAGAAGAAGTAAAAAAAAAAACCATGTCTTTAACCTTTTCTTTTCACTTGGGCTAGATCTTGACAACCATTACATTCACTGAGATCCTCCCATCGACAAAAGCCATTGCCTCCTTCCAAGTGCCTCATTACAACTCTAGCAAGGTTATCACCAGTTTCGAATTTCTTTTTTTACCTAACTGTGACGATTCTTCAGCCTTCTGAATTCAAAATGTCAACTGCGATTTACAGCTGGAGGTTCAATACTTCCATGATCACGCAACAGTCACCGCCATTGCAGCTTTGAAACAAAACCCTCTAATTGATGTAACAGCCACTCTTGGCTCACCAACTATCTCATTCGGTGCTGAAGCTGGATATGACACCACATCTCGAACTTTCACAAAGTACAACTTTGGAATCATTCTCACAATGCCAGACAAATGTGCCTCTGTGATATTGTAAGATATGATTAAAGACTCCTTATTAGTCAAATCTGAGAGCCTGTTTTTGTTTTGTATACAATTGAAAATCTTTTTTTTGGAAATTTCCAGGAGAGATAAAGCAGATTCAATCAAAGCTTCTTATCTGCAACACCTAGATGAGTCGAAGAGAAGCGCCATAGTAGGAGAGATTTTCAGGAAAATCTTTACGAATGAGAACATAATTACTGTTGGTGGATTGTATGCGGTTGATCACTTGACGAATGTGAAAGCTAAGCTTAACAGTAACGGTAAGCTTGGAGCTCTTCTGCAACATGAGGTCCTCCCGAAATCGACAGTGACAATCTCAGGTGAGATTGATACCAAGACGTTAGACAAGTACCCAAGGTTTGGTCTCTCGCTTGCTCTTAAACCTTGAAAACATTTGGTTAAACAATGGAGACATACTACCGTTTTTCTCTCGTATGCCATTGTTGAGACTTGGAGTTTTGGGTACCGTTGTTTCTTTTGAATAATGAGCTCGGGAGGTGTAATCTTTCCGTCGAAAATTCTTTTCGGAGTTGTCTTTTTAGTCTATTCATGAACACGCTCAATGAAACAATTTTGTCTCTGTTTTCGTCACTGTTTTCTTTCCTAGTAAAATTCTTCATTTTTCTGTTTGCTTTTAACTATGGATCGAGAGACGCTCAAGGAATATGTGTACATACCAAATTGAGGAAGATTGAGGAAGATCATCTTCTAAATATTGTTTTCGGATTTGTTTTTACTTCTGGGGATTGTTTTCTAAGAGCACAATGGAAACAATGGTATAACAATGTTTTTTATTAGAGAAAGAGATATTCGGAAGCGAGAAACGAGTGGAGCAACATGTGTAAGTTCAAGCGAGTGCAAATAACCCTTGTTGAGAGTAAATTAGAAATGTAATTTGGTAGCTAAAATCAGAAACCGTGTTTACAGATTGAAAACATCACGAAATTCCAGTATTAATGATTGGTTGCTATGAAATTGATTTCTTTTAAATTCACAAGTTATGCCATGCCAAGGGTTCATAAGAAATGAAGTACCATCTTCATTTCACCAAACAATCTAGTCTGAAAATGCAAAGATTTTCAGAAAAGAGTTTCAATAAATGGAAATGATTGCTTTCAAAGACTGATTCAATTGCAAATACACAGCTAAAGTTTAGCTGCTAAACTATACCAATAGGTTACAGATGCATAGCACTGTAAAACACGTATCTAACGCAAATAATCAACGAACAATGCTCCAATCATTTCTAACCAAGTTACCAAATCAACAACTCAAACTATCAAATCTCTATCACTATAATCACAAGCCCACAATTCCTATCCGCATCAATCTCAACCACATTCAACAAAGCAACAAAGAGAGTAGCCACAAGCAAAACATCCATATAGAAAAGCATCACAAAAAATAATCAAAAATGGCAAAAGAGATAAATACTTCATAATAGTTTTGAAACGAAAAGATAGGCTCTCATCATGTCTGCAAACACTGATAAACATTCGACAAAAACAAAAATTTTAAAAGAAGCACTAAAAAAAAAAAGATAAAACCTTACGAAAAATCTTCTTGGGAAAGTTCTAAAAAGATTTTATCTCTCTCTTTCTTAATCAACGTTCTGCATAATATCCTCAGAAGTGAACTTGGTTCCCTTTTCCTTATCCGCAGCAGCACGACCCTTAGCCTTCCTCTCCAAGAGCGATTTCCTGTCCTTGTCGAGACGCAGCTTCGTAATCACCACTTTCGACGGCTGAACACCGACGTTCACGGTGGTTCCGTTCACCTTCTCCCTCGTGATCCTCTCGATGTGAATCACCCACTTGCGACGGTAAACCTGAACGACCTTTCCTTCACGTCCCTTGTACGTCCCACGAACGATCTGGACCTCGTCGTCTTTGCGGATCGGCATAGATCTGACGTTGTACTTCTGGCGAAGGTCGGCGGAGAGCGGCGAGCTCATAATCACACGCCTCTCGCTTGATGAGGCAGTGAAATGAGCCTTCCTGTTCTTCCTGCGAGAGGAGGTCACGCGAGGGTTGTACTTCATCTTCGCCGCCGGTTTTTTGAGAAACTCTCTCTTCTCTAGGGTTTTGTTTCTGTGAAGGAGGAAGCGATTGTGAGTGTCAACAAAGCTTATATAGTATTGTAAGTACACAGAGCTAGGTTTTACACGAATATTTAGGGCTTTTGTTATGAAATAGGCTTGGGCTTCTATGAGACTTCTCTCTTGAGAGACCAATATAAACTTCACACTCGGCCCATAAAGTTTTTGAAATTCTTCGTTTCTTTATAAGAGAGAAAACTGGTCTGGTCAAAAATTAAAGATTGTGAATCTCTCTCATGTGGTAGACGATAATTGACTAGTTTTATCGGGGGAAAAAGATATGAGTAGGTTTATCATATGATGATGATGTAGTTTTATAAATCATGCAAGTCAGTAGTCACAGACATTGTGTGCCATAGCTAAAATCTTTGTTAATATTCAAAGAGTCTGAAATTATTTTGTATCTATAGTAGACTATAGTACAGTATATGAATTCAAAAGTCAAAGCGACAGCTAGAATTTAAGTATTCACACAAGCATATATATTCAACCTAGGATTCTTAGATATAATCAGAGCTGAGTAACGATAAGAGAGAAAAAAAAAACGATTTCGCAGTTATATAATTGGTATCTCTCAAGTTTTAATCATGCAATTTACAGGAGCCTGGTTATATCATGCAACTTATATTTTTTGGTAGGAAAACATAATTTTTGCATGATATCAAATACCATATAACTAATAATCCCTGTTAAAGAATATAAATACTTTCATTTTTCAAGAGGATATATATGTTTTTTTTTTTTTAACCTTACTCAAGACTCAAAAGGATATATGTTTTTACATCGAAAGACTTTAAAAGTTTAATCATGCAATTAAAAGCTAGGATGACAAAATATGAGGGTATGATCATAAGAATATTTTTTGTTGAACTAGTTTTTTTGCATTACACAAAAAATATTAACTTTTGGCACATAATTTCTTCAAAAGATGACCGTAATAACAGGTGACTTTAGGTTCCTCCCTCACATTGAACAATTAAGCTGGTTTTTCTCTTTGGTAGGGATTGTTATTACGACAAATATGCTAGCAAGCAGGACAAAACCAATTGAACTTCGATCTAGATAGAAGATTAATGCACCAGTACTGTATATATACAGACAACAATCTAACTTATTTTAATGAAATTTGAAATCTCGTGAAGTTTTGAATGTAAGACCAAACACTTCTGGAGCATGTGGACGTGGTCCCTCTATATGAAACAGAAGGTTATTGGAAAAAAAGGAAAACGCATTTAAAGACTTTCACGTATATAATAACGATCACAAAAAATCATTTATTTCCTCTATTACCACATTTATTGCTGCCAATTCACTGCTGAGTTTTCCTTCTCTTCTTTACTCTCAAAAACCTAACCGGCGAATTCGAATCTTCTCTGAGATCACACAAATATTTTCTCTTCTTTTCATCTTCTTTCTCTCTCGCACTCTCTAAAGAAAACATGAAGCGATGGACAAATTTAGGGTTTGTAGACACGATCTATGAGGAAGAAGACTACGTGGATCACACTTCTTCCTTCTCTTCTTCTTCTTCTTCATCTTTGTCTCCTTCTCCTCAACCACGTATCAATCTCTCTTCTCCTTCAATGGAGCTTGAATCTAGAGTCCATAAATGGTAATGTTTTTTTTACCAAACTTTACAGCATTTGAATTTCTCAGTTTTATGGGAGTTATTTGTTTGCTATGTTTATTATTTTCTCTATATTTTATTCAGGTCGTTAGCTAATAACTCTAAACCTGATGTGTTGGTACATGTGGGAGGCACAAGGTTCCATCTTCATAAGGTTACATTTTTCATACTTTTGTTTGCCAATTTCGGACATTACCATTTTACTCTGTCTCATCAAAATCAACACAAATTTCAACGATTTTCAAAGGGAAAGCCGCAAAATTGTTGGTATTTTATATATTTATTTTGAAGTTCATATTTTAATTTTAAAAGGTTTGAAAAAAGAAGAATTACACATTTATTGCAAATAAGCAAAAAGGTTTGATTTTTATTGTCTGTGATGTTTATTATCCCATAGGATCCTCTGTCAAGAAAGAGTGGCTATTTAAAACGCCACCTAACGGGCGTTAACGAATTAACTCTCTCACCGCCGTTAAACATAACGGCTGAAACGTTCTCGTTAGTAACCGCATTCTGTTACGGCGCTCACATCGAATTAACGCCGTTCAATGTCGTTTCTCTGAGAGTCGCCGTCGAGATTCTTCAGATGACGTCGGAAGCTGGAGGACACGGCGTTAGAGCTAACCTGAGAAACTTAACGGAGTCTTATCTCCGACGAATCGTCTTCGCCAACGTCGACTACATCAAGATCGTTCTCCGTTCATGCCTCGCCTTGCTCCCGGAGTCGGAAACGACGGCGTTTTTAGTCGGAAGATGCATCGAAGCTTTGACGGAATTCGGAGACGGAGACTGCGTCAACGAGTTTCTCGAGGAAGCCGTTATACTTCCCGCCGGATATTTCGTCGTCGTCGCCGACGCCGTGCAGCAGCGTTTCCCGCGCCACGATTTGCTCTACCGAATCGTGGATGCTTATTTGAAGGTAAACGTAAAGAGGCTAATTTCGTCATTTGAATATGTTACGTGTCGTCTTATGATTGGGTGGAAATTTTATAGGAGCATGACGGAGAGATAACGGAGGAGGAGAAGGTTCAGATATGTAATTCGATAGACTGCGACAAACTCTCGCCGCTGTTACTACTTCACGCCGTCCAAAACCCCAAAATGCCCCTGAGGTTTATCGTACGCGCGATGCTACAGGAGCAGCTCAACACGCGCCACTCGATAATAGCTGCCGCCGACGCCGTCGCCTCCTCTGCCGGAGACAGACACCGAGAGATCGCCTCCGCGGCGGCGAGAGACTCCTCCGTAACGCTCGGGTCGCTTCTCCAAAGAGACACGGCGGCGCGGCAAAACTGCCGGCTAAGAGCTGCGATGGATTCCACGAGCTCGAGGATCCAAAATTTGGAGAAAGAGCTCGACGCGATGAAGAGATTCATATCGAAAGAATCGGAGAAACAGAGATCAGAACGGATCATCGAGTCTAAGTCGAGGAGCGTGATGGATTCTGCTCGATCCGCGAGCTTCCACTGCGTCCACCAATCGAGCAATAACGTGAACAAGACGCAGAGAGGAGAGAGAGGATCGGTTTCATCACTGAGCACGACTTTCCGGCGAGGAGGAACAACATCTCCGCCGCCGCCGCAGCAGCCGCAATCGAAGAGTCTAGGCAAAAGACTGATTAACGGGATAAAGAGTGTGTTCTCTTCATCATCTAAACAAGGAGGTAAGAAAAATGCATATGAAGTCGAGGAGATTTATGATGGATTAGAAGATTTCATTTGGATCAAAGACAACGAAGGTGATAACATCTCTGAAGAACTTCACTCTCACTACATCAACAACAAATGATCCCTCTCTCTTACATTATCTTCTTTCGTAATATTTTTTTGTAGCCAAGAGTGATTCTATGTTCCTTCAAGTAATGAGATTTCCATCGTTTACCTCCAAAATTGATATAGCTTCAGTAGATAGATGAATCTTTACGATTTTGCAGATCTCCATGTTGGTTTCTTGTTTAGCTGCAAATAAACATGCAGTGAGATTTGTTTAAGTTCATGAACACAACATAAACAAGAATGAAACACAAAGATGAGACCATGTAAATTACCTGCAATTCCCGTGCAACCGAAGGTAGCCATTTTTCTCCTCTGACTTTCTTCAATTCGGCGACTCTTTCTTCCTCTTTCTTAGCTTTAGCCTTTGCAGCCGCTTCTTTAGCCACTAATCTAGCTGAGGCTTTTGCAGCCGCTTCGATAGCAGCAGATAAAACATCAGACCCATCAACAGCGATTGATTTTATTCGTTTCTTAAACTGCAGCAAACCATAGAAAAAACCAATTAGCTATCTGATAGAGATTCATGATCAGGTAAAAACAGGACACTGCTTGAAGCCAAAAACGTGTTTTAAATAACCTCTTTAGAGTTTCCTTGAGCTGCTCTATCAGGGCGTAAATTAGGCTTCTTTTTGGGTCCTTGAAGCTCATCTGGTTAACAGGAGAATATAAGTTCCTCGACTAATTAACAATTCCCTAATAATAATCAAAATTCAGAATCTGGAATCTCAGAGAGAGAGGGAGATGCTGACTAACCTACATGATCAAAGATTATGCCAGTAGAACACCGCTTAAACAATCGTACTCCACAGTCACTTTCGGGTTTATCCTCGGGAACATTGATAGGGTCTTTCACAAAGTCTAAAGAATTCTCCACCATTTCATTCAAAAGCTTCTTCACCTGTTTTCAAGGCCTTATCTTTATCAGCAACAATAAAATCAACTCAATGAAGCCATATCTAACTATACATCAGCATGAACAAAGATTAGAGATAGAGATACAGTAGCAAACACCATGAACAAGAGTTTAAGAAGAACCCAAAACACTGAGAACTCAATTCAAGTCCACTCAAATTTTGCAACTTTCTGATCAAAAACTCCATCGACAACGTCTTGCAATTATAACTCGATACACTAACAATTGAAACTCTTAAACAGAGCTTACTTCATTTTAATTACGGAATCAAAAAGAGCAACTTGTACATGAAATTGGCATTATATATGAGAAACGTCCAAGTAATGACTAACCTTGATCTGGGCATGTGTTAGCTTTTTAGGTTTTTGTCGAAAATCTCCATCTTCATGTGACTGAGTAGCTGCGGGTTTCGTGGCGGAGGCGCCGTAAACGGTGGTAGTGGCTATCGAATTGATTGCGGCTTTCCACTTGGGATCTTCCTCTTCGCTGCTGCTATCTCCGCCACTTCTCTCCCGATCAGCCATTGCTACTCAGTCGCCGTAAGAACTCTCTCCGTCACTGCGAAACTCTCCGGCAGAAGAACGTCGTCGAGGGTTTATTGCGGGAGACCTAATTTTGTTGGCGCAATTAAAAATAGATCACCCTTTTTCCGGATTCGGGTCGGGTTTAATTTGACCCGTCATGGATTGAAACACTCAAGTCTCAGCCTAAAGAGGATACCCAAACCGGATTTAACCAAATCCTAATTGAAACTAAAGATTGAATCTATAAGTTAACATAATAAGTCAAGAGCCAAACTATCGATTCAATTCTTTTTCTGAATCGGAAAGATTAGTCAAAACCAAACAAAATATTTGTATTTGTTAAGGGAAAAACTCTGATTTTATTATTTCCATAAGCAGTGTATATATACATTACATAACTAATGTATTAGAAACCCTAATGGGCCATGAGACATTAACCTGATGGTTAATGGGCCGGTTACTAGAAGTCCATTTGTTTATAACATTCCCCATTGGACAAGGTAACCGTGCCTGTCACAAAACCGGGATCTCTATAATGCGCTGGGGAACGTTGCCTCATTAAAATCTTACCAGGAAAACCCAGTGGGGAAAACCATGGTGAAGGAAAAAGAGTACAACACGCATTACTCCCCCTGGTTTAGGCATCACTGTAGATCTCTAAGTCTACGCAATCCTATCTGATGAATGAGCTTCCGGAGTGTAGAAGTCGGTAATGATTTGGTGAATAGATCGGCTGAATTTTCGCTTGATCGGACTTGATGAACCTTGACCTGACCATCCTTCTGCAGCTCATGAGTGAAGAAGAATTTGGGCAGAATATGCTTCGTCCGGTCACCTTTGATGTAGCCGTCCTTGAGTTGAGCGATACAAGCTGCATTGTCTTCATACATCACCGTAGGCTCCTTATCTTCGTCCATACCACAATCTGATCGGATATGCTGAGTCATGGACCGCAACCAAACACACTCTCTACTAGCTTCGTGGATGGCCAAGATTTCCGCATGGTTGGATGAGGTAGCGGCAATAGTCTGCTTCATGGATCTCCAAGATATGGCTGTTCCTCCATGCGTGAAAACATAACCGGTTTGAGACCGGGCACAGTGCGGATCTGACAAATATCCTTCATCAGCAAAACCAACTAGACCATCCTTGTTATGGTTAGAATAAAATAATCCCAAGTCCTTAGTACCTTGAAGGTATCTAAGGATGTGCTTAATACCGTTCCAGTGCCTTTGAGTTGGACACGAACTAAAGCGAGCTAAGAGGCTCACGGCAAAGCAGATGTCTGGTCTAGTGTGACTAGCCAAGTACATTAATGCTCCTATGGCACTGAGGTATGGTATTTCAGGACCGAGGATTTCTTCATCGTCCTTCTTTGGACCGAATGGATCACTATCCAATCCAAGGCTCCTCACAACCATTGGGCTGGTCAATGGATGGGCCTGGTCCATATTGAATCTCTTGAGTACCTTTTCAGTGTATGCCAATTGATGCACAAGGATTCCGTCATTGACGTACTCAAGTTGTAATCCCAAACAGAATTTAGTTTTGCCTAGGTCTTTCATTTCAAACTCTGCTTTTAAGCATTCAACTGTTTGGGCGATTTCACCAGATGTTCCGAGGATGTTCAAGTCATCCACGTATACTGCTATGATTACAAATCCTTTGTTTTGATATTTTCTGATGAAGATGCATGGACTGATCGGATCGTTTTCGTAGCCTTCTCTGATGAGATATTCGCTTAACCGGTTATACCACATACGTCCGCTTTGTTTCAGTCCATATAAGGATTTGTTCAGCCTAATGCAGTGTTTATCACGAGATGCATGCTTATCTTTGAGCTCAATACCATCTGGTAATCTCATATAGATTTCACTGTCCAGTGGTCCATAAAGATATGCGGTTACAACATCCATTAACCGCAAATCTAAGTTTTCTCTTATGGCCAGACTTATGAGGAATCGAAATGTAGTTGCATCCACCACTGGAGAATAAGTCTCCTCATAATCGATTCCGGGTCACTGTGAGAATCCTTGTGCTACAAGGCGTGCCTTGTATCTAACGACTTCGCCGAGTTCGTTTCTTTTACGCACAAAGACCCATTTTTTTCCCACTGGTTTAACATCGAATGGTGTCCTTAAGATCGGACCAAACACATTCCGTTTCTTTAAACTATTCAACTCTACGTTTATGGCTTCTTTCCATTTCAGCCAATCTGATCTACGAGTGCACTCAATTATAGACGTGGGTTCTAGATCCTTTTGCGTGTGCGCAATCTCAAGTGCTACCTTGTATGCAAAAGTTTCATTGATGTCGACATCTTTTCTGTTCCATAGAGAACCAAATATGATATAATTGATTGAGATCTCATTATTATCAATCCCTTCAGAACCTTGAGTTTTGGCGTCCCAAACCTCTTGAGATGGTTCGATAGGGTAAGTATCAGCTGAGGCTGTATCCGTGTTCTCTTGAATCCCGGTTTCAATCATTGCACCTTTCTTTGACTTCCGGGGATTCTTATCTTTGGAACCTGGTGGTCTGCCACGTTTCTTACGTGCGTCAGACTCTGTAGCAACTTGACTTTTCCCTGAGGGGACATCTATTCGTACTGGTGCATTACAAGCTGGTATGTACGATTTGGTAACTTTGTTCGGGTCAGCAAAGGAATCTGGCAATTGATTAGCTAGCTTTTGTAAATGTATAATTCTTTGGACCTCTGAATCACATTCTAGAGTCCGAGGATCTTGCCATTGTGTAGATGTTTGATTCCATGAAAGTTCTTTTACCAGCTTGTCTGTCTCACCACCTAATCTAGGATATACCGATTCATCAAATCGGCAATCTGCATATCTGGCTTTAAACAGATCTCCTGTAGTTGGCTCGAGATATTTTATGATGGTGGGAGAATCAAAACCAACATATATTCCCATCCTCCTTTGAGGTCCCATTTTAGTCCTCTGTGGTGGTGCAATGGGTACATAGACTGAACACCCAAATGTTTTAATATGGGAGACGTCTGGCTCATGACCCGTTAGCAATTGGGATGGTGAATATTTGTGCTCACTAGATGGTCGTATGCGTATTAGTTCAGCGGCATGTAAGACTGCGTGTCCCCAAGCTGAGACCGGGAGTTGTGACCTCATGAGTAATGGTCTAGCAACCCATTGAATTCGTTTAATGAAGGATTCAGCTAATCCATTTTGTGTATGGACATGTGGAACGGGATGTTCAACACTTACCCCCATGGACATACAATATTCATTAAACGCTTGGGAAGTGAATTCACCAGCATTATCAAGACGTATAGTCTTTAATGGGAAGTCTGGAAAATGGGCTCGTAATCTGATGATTTGGGCCAATAACCTAGCAAAAGCCTGGTTCTTAGAAGAGAGCAGACAGACATGCGACCAGCGGGTCGATGCGTCAATGAGGACCATGAAATATCTGAATGTCCCACAAGGTGGGTGAATTGGTCCATATATGTCTCCTTGGATTCTTTCCAGAAAGGTCAAGGTCTCTTTAGACACTTTGACTGGTGAAGGTCGGGTAATCAGTTTCCCTTGTGAGCAAGCTGTGCACTTGAGGTGCTGAGGGAAAATACCATTTGGTTTAAGGCTGTGCCCTTTAGAATTCTGGACTAATTTACGCATCATGTTCGCACTGGGATGACCCAGGCGATCATGCCAAATAATGTAATCTAAAAACCGTGCTTTGATAGCAGCATTAGCCTCAATCATACTGACTTTAGCATGGTAAATGCCAGTAGATACGCGGGTATAGTTTCAAAAACTTGTTTATGGCCATTTATCATTTTAGTGATAATTAAAAACTCTTTGTTCCCTTCATCCTGAATTTCGATATGGAAACCATTCAATCTTATGTCTTTGAAACTCAATAGGTTTCTCTTAGAACTGGGTGAGTATAAGGCATCAGAGATGTCTAGATATGTGCCATTTGATAACATATTAGCTTGGCCATGGCCCTCTATTAGGCTCGAACTACCCGCTATAGTGCTAATGTTTGCGGTTTTGATTACTAAATTTATGAAGTAATTCTTGTCTTTTAGAATGGTGTGGCTCGATCCACTATCCACAATGATATCCATATTGTCTTGCATATCTTTTCGCCAAATGGATTTCTGACCGGCTTATGATCTGAGAGCTAAAGACCACAGATATCTACTGGAAACTCCTGAGAATGATGGCCAGAAGAGAGGACGAACAGCTGCTAATGGAGGAACCACTGCTTGGAAAGAATCACCCGCTAAGGTGGGACAGCGCCGATTGTTTTGAGTCGTGAGGGCGCGTCTGGTGTCGGATTGAGGAGCGGTTTTCACCACTAGATTCTTCTCTTCCAGGACTTCAAAATGATATGTAGATCGCCTTCTAACTCCTTGTATTTTGAGAGATATGATCGTTTGAAGTTGAACTTCGTGCTGATAACGTGTTAAGGGAAAAACCTCTGATCTTATTATTTCCATAAGCAGTGTATATATACATTACATAACTAATGTATCAGAAACCCTAATGGGCTATGAGACATTAACCTGATGGTTAATGGGCCGATTACTAGAAGTCCATTTGTTTATAACAGTGCTAAAATTCAAATCCGAAGTAAATTCAGCTTCTGTATTTCATTAACCAGGAGCAATTGAACCCACCCAAAAATTAATCTGAAAACCGAACGAAAACCGGACTCTGTTCCGTTGAATAGAAAAGTAACAGAACTCATACTACTATGCTCAAAGTGATCTGTATTAACAAGGCTCTATAGTTTCTCTCTCTCTCTACTCTGTAAACAAAAACATAGCAGCACAACAACAACAACAATGAGCAGCAACACAACAGACAAAAGGGAAGAAGAAGAAACAGAGTGAAAAAAAAGACTCTAAAAGCTTCGTCTTTTATTTTCAAGCAATCTTCTTCCCTCCTGCTGAAGGCAACCGCCATTGTCTATGCCAATATACAGAAACCCTCGACCACATCGGAAACCCGAAGTTAAACTCAAGAGGCTTATCAGCAGGCCCACCAACAATCAAAGGCAGCCACAAATACCTAGAATCCCTCAAATCCGCAGGGTTCCACCTATCCGCCATGAATATAAACGCACCATGAACACCAGGCAAAGGTATCACATGCGTGCTCTGCGCAAAAAAAGTCGTCGACCTGAAAACACTGTTCCCTCCAACACAAGGGTTCCCTAACGTTTCCCAAGGTCCCATCACCGACTCTGCAGCGTGAGCCAACGCTTCGTTTGGTGCCCATCCTGTGCAACCTGATGTGATCATGTAGTAAGTGTTTTCGTGTTTGAATATCGCTGGAGCTTCTCTGTGTTGTCCCACCATGATTCTCTTCATAACCGGCTTCACGTCGAGGTAATTCTCTGTTAGAGGACCGATGTGCAGGACACTGTTGTCCTCTGAGGAATAGATCAAGTAGGCTGTGTTGTCTTCGTCTTTGAAGACAGTCATGTCTCTGCTGTCGAATCCGTGTGGTGACTTGCTGTATAAGTAAACGAATGGACCTATTGGGTTATCGCTGATGGCTACACCAACGGAGGCTTTGGTGTAGTTTGCATCGTCGATATGCATCCACATCACGTATTTGTCTGTATCTGAATTGTAGATCACTTTTGGTCGCTCGAGGACGTTGGATTTGTGTAAGTCATGTGTCTCGTCTGTTTCTTCAGCTGCTAACACAACGCCTTCGTTTTTCCATGTCCATAAGTCTTTCGACGAGTAGCATCCTACACCGATTATATCGACCTGAAACACACAAATTCAAGAAAGTTGTTTTCTTTTCAACATTCTTCTGATTCTAAAGTTCCAAGATTGAGATGTTTATGGAAGAAAAGAAAGTGACTTACTCGAGCTGGTCCTTTCTTGTGAGAATGATAAGTTGGTCCATCTTTATATTCACCATACCAATAGTAAATCTTGGACCTTTCATCATACAAAATGCCACCACCGTGTGCTTGAATCGGATTCCCTTCAGTGTCTAACCAAATTCTCCCGGGGAAGAAGTGATGCAATGTATCACTATCATTATCATCCTTGGTTGGACCAAAAGCTGATTTCATATCGGGGAAGAAAAGATGACGAATCTGAGAATTCTCGTCAAGAAACTCTTCGACTAAAGTGGTTGGTCTTTTCGGTTTGCGTTTTATTGCACGAGGAGAACGCTTCCTAGGAGGCGGCATGTGAATGTTCTCTTCTTCGACTCGTTCGAGCTCACGGACAATGGGATGGTGGATTAGTAACTGAGAAGAGACTTCGAGATCTACACTATATTTTCTGCTATATAACATGATTAGATGGATCATGAAAACACATCCCACAACTGTTGATACTAGAGAAAACGGTGAACAACGCAGAGAGGTTGGTTTCTTGTTGTGTTTGTTCTTCACCATCCTCATTTGTTTTATTTATTCCTTCCAAGATTTATCTCCACAGTACACAACCACCTATTCAGATTCCAACACACCCAAACAAAAATACATAAGCATCTAATAATTAAGCAAAATGTTGTCTTTATTTTTTGGCAACAGCAAAATGTTTGTCTTAAGTTAAAAAAGAAAGTGTTCGACGACAAGTAAAGAAACTGTTCTAATTAAGCAAAATAGATTTGTTGTGGCCTAATTCAAGCTAGTTCCTCTTTTGGGAGATGATAATTTTTCTGGACATGTACTAGAACAGATGTGGGTTCTACATATAGTGTCCAATTCATCAAATTATAGTTTTTTTGGCAGATAATCAAACGGGTTAAATAGAATCGTCCGATTTGATAAGTTACATTAATGCAATGTTCGTCAATTCAGCAAAAATTAAGCACAATTTCCAAAAACCAGATCCAAACAATTGGAATCTAGACTCTAAAGACTTCGAATTTCCAGCTGAAGATAACGAAAAGTTCTATAAAACACACAGAAAACTAAGCGACAAAAATCATCGGGATCTCACCTGAGAGACTAGCCGGAGCCGAATTTTCCGACATGTAAAAATCTGGGCGATTCTCAGTACCTTAGCTTTCTCCGAAGTAAGCAATGGCGGAAACAAAAAACCAAAATTTCGATTTTCCAATTTGTTTCAGATTCTCCGGAGAAGAAGCTCGAACCTGGGAACGTAATTACGGAGCTAAATTACAGAACCCAGGAGGAAATAAAAGAATTGGGTCGGTGACGTTTGGTTAAGAAGGATCTGTCACGGGGACAAAGAAGGGATCTTTGATGATGATTCAGACGTGCGACCAAAAGGACGAGGTCGATAGTTCTTTACTCGTCTGATGAGTTTCTGGTTTTTGTGTTTTTTTTTTTTCTTTCTTTTGTTTGTTGGGATCTTGCCGTTCTGGTTATTTAACTGTTTATTTTTCATTTAAGAAATGTAATGATTGGCCACTTAATTTAGTGTTTCTCCATGAGTAATATTCATTTATGCTAATTACATTACCAGTTCTTGTATTCTCTCTCTCTTTTTTTTTTGGTTTAATGACTGTAAATGTGTTCAACTGGGAAATCGATTCGGTTTTGGTTTTTCGTTTATTAACTAATTTCATACTCAATTGTACATTTATTTCTTCTAAAAATCGCTGAATTGTACTTTAAGAAGTTTCATTAAAGCAATTTTCTTAAGAGGCATTGTGGATCTTTACATCGCGACAAATCAACCAGTTGGCGGTCCGAATTGCCAAACCAACTCTGTATTTTACACCATGATTTGATTGCTCTTTATTTCCACTGTTTTCCAAAATAGTTAAGAGTCAGTGTTAGTCTAATAAGCCTAACAGTTGAAATTAAGATATTATGCTGACTTATAAGTTATAACTTCTGGTATTGTCCGATACCTCTTACAAAAGGAATAATTTTTTTTGGGGTTTCTTGTGTTATCGGAACTAAACGCAGTTTAATACCAATGTTACTCTATAGATATATAACTTCTACAATTTTATGTTTTGCATATATGAGTAATTGTGTGTTCGTTTTTCATATATAGACCTATTGTATATCCTAAAACTTATTCACTTCAATTCTTTTTTTAGAGTTGTGTTATTTTACTATCATCTGTAAATCACACACCAGCGGTGTTTTTTTTTTGTTAAATTTCGATTTTTTTTTTTGTTAAAGGGAGTTAAATTTCGATTGTGATCCAGTGATGACACTGGTATAAACTATCAATTACATGTTTTGGTCCATAAAGTTAATTTTTATTATTTTTCTCTAAATCAATAATTGGATGATTATTCATGCAACAAAAAAGTGTTAAACCTAACGGCTTTAGTGGTTGACCAATTCGTTTTTCACCTTGTCTTATCTCTCGCTGTTTATTTAATATGTTTACAGTTAATGAAGCCAAAAAAAGACAGCGGGTTAATGAATCCAACTTTTGATAATTTATACGTAGTTAAAATGTTAAAATGTAGTGGTGGATAGAAACACTAGTCAATGTAGTCAATATAACCTACACCAATTTAGATATTGGAACACAAAAATCCAAATATAGGTAGTAATTCATTTAAAAAACTATCAAATTTGGATAGTTAATATTTGAACGGCAGGATAGTTATTATAATTAGCATTATTATATACCTAGAGAGTCAAATATGAATTCAATAATAGTTTAGAAGATGAGTGCTTGGGTAAAATTTAAATGTATGAATTTTCTACCATTTTTACAGATTTTTTTTTTTTAAATCATAAATGTCTTAGGAGTCCTATTTCAAACTTATAGCTTTGACAACCTTATTTTTTTGTTTATTCATTTTTTTAAAAACGCAAGTATTTAATGGTTGCAGAGGCTGTATGTTTTTTCTCATAGCAAAACTATTGAAGCTACATCAAAAAATCTACAGCACTTAAACTACAGTTACAGCCCAACTAATCATCCAAATAGTAAAACATGGTATATAATATGTCATAATTTTTAGGCAGTAAATAGAAGTAGATTGGGAATGCAAAGTGCAAATAAATCATTATCATAAGAAGTTAAGGCTTTGATTGGTGCAAGAGTTACACTTGCATTAGTTTGAGTTATGAACATACATCAAAAATGTTACCTATCATGCGTTAGTTTTAATTTTTTGAGTTTAAGTTTAAGTTATGAATTGGTATGGTTGAGTTACAATTTTGAGTTATGTCCTTTGTAAAATTGATAACTCAAAAGTTAATTCAACATAAGGAAAATCTCATGTAGTAGAGATTGAGTTAGATATTTTGTTTGCTTTTTCCCACTTTATATTGCTATCCCACGTTTTTTTTTCTGCATTGTATTTTTTGGCTGAAAATTTATTTTTTGAAAAATTAAACATAACACAAAATACAATACATAATTTTTTTTTTACAATTTTCTCCATTTAAATGACATAACAATTTACTAGCACAAAAAAACAGATTCATGTATGTTTTTAAATAGTCAACGTTGACAAGCTTTTTTGTGTATATGCATTTTGTGTAAATATTATTAATCTAGTAGTTAGGTTTTTAATAATTTATAGATATTTTTCCATTTAAAAATAATTTTTTGAATATAATAGAGTTGAAGTTAGTATTAAATTTTTAATATATTTCATCACTATTTTTAATAAATATAATCATTATTAATAATTAAAATTTTAATTTATTTAACTCACATGTACTACAATTTATACCACAAAAATGTTACCAATCAGTTATTTTAACAAAAAAATAACTCATATTTTCACTGAAAATTCACCACATAATTTTACAGTTTATACCACAGAATTTTTACTGCAGTTTACATCAAATTACAGCATCAACTAAATCTCAACTTCAAAATCACATGTTACCAATTGCAGCCTTAGGTGAAATTAATACTATAGTGAAATTATATCTAGGTCGGGCCATTACTAGTGGGTCGATTAAAAGCCCTTACTCAAGATCCCATAAACGTTAGCCCACAAATTTATCACCAATTTTGGAAACGGCAACGTGTATCACGGCTAATTTTCTGACGGCACCGGCCAAAAACGATGGACGTAATGTGTTCATCACGCGCTTCTCTAAAGCGAGTGGTAAGGTGATTTATTCAATTATTCTTCCGAACTTCTGGTATATCTGTCACCGTATCTCCTCTCTGATTGGCCAATCCAAAATTTAATTAAATCAATGAATTATTTAAATAGCACCCCCATGATTTTCGGCCTATCAACCAAAAAGCCGATAATGGAAACGTGTACAAGACCAGGACCGTTGATTACTTGGACCAGAAGAAAAATCGAACGGTGCAGATTCCGTGGCTTTGACTCTTTTAATTCGCAGTCTCTGGAGACGCACAGAGAAATCATCAGTAGGCGACGAACGAGGAGAAGAAGCTTCTCTTTTACCTTCAAAGGAGATCAGTGGAGGAGGATCCGAACAGGCGGATCTGATTCTGTATCTGTTTTAGAATCTCTTTCGTCGCTATTGAGTTTCTTCTGTTGAATCATCAAATGGGGTTATTGGAAGCTTTTCTCAATTGGCTTCGTAGGTGAGAGAGCCCTTCCCTTTTAAAATTTCTTCTTCGTCTTCATCATTTTCTGATTACCTCGAGCCGAAAGATGTTGAATGGAATTGTATCTTGGAATTTTGAGTTTCTTTGTTGCTTTTACTCGAATTCATTCCCTATTTTCCGCTAAATTTTTAAATTTGTTTTTTTTTTTTAAGAAGTGACTAAATCATCTAGAAACCAAATCACATCAGCTCACCAGAAATGGAATCTTGTCTGTTTCTAATTTTGTTCTGTGAAGCTGATTTTGACAGGGTTTCTACCTACCATATTCTGTAATTTTTACCCTTTTGAAGAGACAAACTTCAAGAATTTGATGTGACCTTGAAATCTACCTTTTGGATTTGATTGCCAAGTGTAGGGTTTTTAGGCTATACGTTTCTTATTCTGTGGTGACAGTTAGGGAAAACGAGAATCGATCTTTTGGATTAAGAACACAAGTTTTAGCCATGTGGGGGAGAATTGAGAAATTATCATGTGATTGATTTGGTTTTAGCATTCGGTATAGTTAAGAATGAGAACATCTTTCAAGTGGCTAGTGTGATTAATTTGGTTTATGTGAAGGAGTTGTGGAAGCAAGAATCTATCCAATTTCAATCTAGTTAGAAAAATGTATATTTTCTAAATCTAAAATATTGCTGAAAGATTGGTTCTGATGGTTGGTCGATAAAGTGTTCTATTTGGGACCTGGAAAAAAAGTGTTCAATTTGGTATTTCGATTTGACCTATTCATTTGTTTGTTTCTATGTGCTTCTTCAGCCTCTTCTTCAAGCAAGAAATGGAGCTTTCTTTGATAGGACTTCAAAATGCAGGAAAGACATCACTTGTAAATGTCGTTGCGGTAAGTATGCTTCCCTTTTTATATTCTCTTAAAAAGCCAGTTGATTGATGGTTTGGGGATCTGATAATTACCCTCATCTTGTTTAGACTGGTGGATATAGTGAAGACATGATCCCTACGGTAAGTTACACTGCATAAATTTCGTCTTTAAGAAAAAAACATGGATACTCATTTTTGGAATAGCATAAAGAGATTCTTCTTCTCCTTCTTTTTACCAGGTCGGGTTTAACATGAGGAAAGTGACCAAAGGAAATGTTACAATCAAACTATGGGATCTTGGTGGTCAACCAAGATTCCGCAGCATGTGGGAACGTTATTGCCGCGCTGTTTCTGCGATTGTGTAAGGATCTTAGACTCAAGTCTCTATTCTCTTTATATCTCCCACAATTTTGTTCATGTTGTATCCTTCTCCAGGTATGTTGTTGATGCTGCAGATCCGGACAACCTAAGTGTCTCGAAAAGTGAACTTCATGATTTGTTGAGCAAGACTTCGCTTAATGGTATCCCTCTCCTGGTTCTTGGAAACAAAATTGACAAACCTGGAGCTCTGTCCAAAGAAGCCTTAACCGATGAAATGTATAGCTGTTTCCTCATCTGAAAACTCCAAAAAGGCATCAATATTTAGCTAGAATCTGATCGTGCTTTTATCTTCCATTGTGATTTCAGGGGGCTTACGTCGCTTACAGATAGAGAAGTCTGCTGTTTCATGATATCCTGCAAGAACTCTACCAACATTGATCAGGTCATTGATTGGCTCGTAAAGCATTCAAAATCAAAGAACTAAATGCCACTCTTCTTAATCTTCTTAGTCCTCCTGTATTGTCTGGGTGATGATGGTTGAAGACAATTTTTTGTGTGAAACAAGAGCTGTCTCTATTTTCTTGTCGCTGGTGGCTAGTCTGGTTTGTTCTGGCTAGGTCCAGTCTTGTCTCTGTATATTATTATATGTGGATTGTGTTTTGTTCTTAAGCATTTGCAATTTTGGAAACACAAAAAAAGTGGCTCACTTCTATGAACTTCCAAAAATCTACGGCGCTCAGTGGAAAACTTTAAATTTAATCTCAAGGAAAGAGCAATAAGCTCTGTGTATGATAAAAGGCTTTATTTATTCCTCTTCAAACCAATTTCTGAATGGGTCACGAGAAACCTATGATGCTACTAACAAAACAGATAAAAACAGAAAAATGGAAAAAGGTTTTACATATTTGTCTGAGTTAGGACACGTTACAAGCTGCAGAATTTACACTGCTACTAAAAAAAAAAAAAAAAAAGACATTAGCGATTATATGACTCTTAAGATGCAAGATTGAAACTTGATATTGTGAGGCTTCACTATCTGCAAACATGATAATATATATAAGTATTAAGTATTAAAGTGATTTGCATTTTGTTTTGTTGCGAAGGACTAACTAACTTACACAATCAAACGAGCTCTTAATCCTTACCGAGTTTGTCTACGCATCCTAAACTTAAAAGCTTTCATTGCCGCTTTTGCAAAAATGAAGGCAGCTTCAGCTTCGGCTTCTGCCTGCTCTGCCTCTCTTGCCGCTTCTTCAGCTTTTGCGATTGCAAATTCTGCTTCCGCCACTGCTCTTGCAGCGGCTGCAGCAGCTTCTTGTGCTGTCATGCCCTTTATCATCAATACCTCTCCATCTACTTGGGGTTTAGCTAGATTCTTGACACCATTCTCCTCGGGCTTTGGAGAATTTTCTTTGTTTGCTTCCAACATGAGTTGAGGAGACTTTTGTTTTGCTCCTGCAGCCACATAGTTGGAAGAAATCCTGTATTTGTGGTTTATCTGAAAGATGAGAACAAAAGCAAGAAACCCATTGTTAAGTGAGTGACGAAAAATGTGATTTTGTAAGCAGAAACTTTGATCAAAGTGTCTCTTTTTACCTTAACTAATGTTCCAACGTTTGTCAAATACTTAAGTCTTGAAGTCACAAGCCGTTTCATATCCGGTTGCATCTTGTAATTCTCCTGAAAAGTTTACCGCTGCATTAAGTCCTTGATGGTTGAATAGATGCAGCAATCCCTAATTATATACAAGCTAAAGGAATAGACATAAAAGGAATGCTTAAGAGTACCTCTATATACAACAAGATCGATTTTCCGTCAGGACCAAGCGGTTTCTCCAATTTGGTAATGGCCTCCAAGATAATCTTATCCACACTACAACAAACATAACAAAACATAACAAAGCTCAGATCTTTCTTAAAGAAACTTAGACTAAAACTTGAAGCAAACCTCTATGCTATATGATTTACAAACACTGATTCCCACTCTTCCCATATCTCATACAATACTAAGAAGAAGCCAAACCTTGTAAAGGGTCCTTTAAAAGCTCTTGGTGGTTCACAAGAAACTGCAGGAGGAGATGTTGGATTAATCTGTTGCCCTCCATCATCACCATTAGCCAGAGCAACAATGGTAAGAGCTGTAGTGTTATCATCATCCTGCTTAGGACCCGACGACGGAGTCCTTTTAAGTGCAAGCTTAGCCTTCTTCCTAGATCCCCATAGAGCTGTTACACTTATATTTCTCCATTTATCCTGTTAAAAGTGTTTTTCGATCAACAATGTAAGTTTTCTATAATCTCTTTCAAGTTCTTGCTTGGGGAAAGTTTTTACCTTGAGATCCACATTTGAGCGAGACTTCAAAACTGAGCTATACTCAGGATCTGAGAGAATGGTACGCCATTTTCCAGTTCCATGTTTGAGTACTCCAGATTTAAGAGCTGTTTCCTCTTCAGGTGTCCACTTCTGCTTTGGGGCTCCCATTCACAAATTCTCCAGGAAACACAACAACAACAACAATAACTTCTAATGTCTCGACTTCTTTTCTCTGCCAACAGATGAAACCATCACAAAAGAGAAAGAATCATTTAGAATCACGAAATTTATGGTGAACAAAATGAGATGTCGAAGACGATGGTAAAGGATGAAAATCCCCCAAGTTGTTCAATTGCATTAATGACTTATAAATGCCAGAGATTACGACTAAAAACCCAAAATCAGGGACGAGAAAGATCAAAATTCAAACGGGAAGATCGGGGAAATCGAAACCCGGAGAGAAAGAGAGATATGAAATTAACAAGGAGAAGAGGAAGTAGCATGCCTGATAATGGGGAAGCGAAAGGGTGAGGACGTTCTGTAGAGCGTCATGGCTCAGAATTCTGAATCTAAAATTGTTGCAGAGAGAAAGAAGAAGAAGAAGAAGAAGAAGAAGAAGAAGAAGAAGAAGAAGAAGAAGAAGAAGAAGAAGAAGGAGACGAGAGAGTACAAGGAAGAGTATCCATTGAAATGAAAAACACACACCCAACAACAACCTAAACAAGAAAAAAAGAGAGGCCTTTATTTCCTTTTTCATTTTTCGGACAACGACCTTTATTTCCTTCTATTGAATTACGCATGTAACAGTTTTGCTGCGAAATGGTGAAAATAATCTTGCCGAATGAAATAAATTATTTAAAAGTTAATTTATTTACTTATTTTTCTTTGTATTTTTATAAAATAAAAACTCAATTCTACAATTAAGTAGATTACTAATTAAAATCGTTATTTAGATAGATAGCATACTTACTTATATAGAAACTCTATCAAAAATCCGTTTTTTATTTCGGAAACGACAATTCTGAAATATAGAAAAATATAATAGTAATACAACTTTTTAAAGTTTAATTTGGAGAATTATGGTAGAAACGAAAACTCGTCTATGACTTTAAAACTTAATAACTAAAAATGTAGGAAATGTTAGAATAAACCTTTGTTTTTGACAAACAGGATAAGCTTTGTTATTTCACTTATTTTAGAGGTATTTAAGCAAGTTAAAAGCCTAATTAAATAATTAGTGTGATGATGTTTTTCTTTTCCTATCAATTAACACCCTTATTTTTAAGCTCAAGACCACTCGGGATTATTGTTTTTTTTTCCTCAAGTGTGTGTACTACGCGAGTTCAAGTTAATATTACAAAAAAAAAGTTAAAAAGTAATTTTCCGTAAAACGCACATTGTGAATTTGATGTGAAAGATATATAAGTTTGACACGGAAAATAAGTTTGATGGCTCAATATGGGTAATTTGTTTTTGTTCAACTACTGTCTACTGAAAAAAAGAAGGTAAATGTTAATGTTAGTGACTCAACACATTTTTAGTTTTTACAGATACAAAAGATGGGCAGCATGCTGCCCTGAATCAATAGTCAAATAAAAATAAAATTAGCAAGACCTGAACTCAAATTTGAATTCATAACCAAAAATAAAATAAAATATAGAACAGAAACAAACACAGAACGTGAACACACATGTACATACAACATCTGCACACACAAACCAGAAGAAAAGAAATCTAAATGTTTTTGATCAAACACGTCTTTTTAAACATTTAAAAAAATAAAATTTCGATAGAATAAGGTTGCATCCATCCCCAAGAAGGTCAACGGCGATATCATATTTTCCTCCAAAATCAAAAGCAAGCTTCCAAGAGGCAACAACAGCAGAGCATAGCCAAACTGTAACACAAATACACATATGAATTAAGTAAACATTCACAACAAATCACAAGCAAAAGATATAAAGAGATAGACTTTATATATATAGGTCAAAAACGCACCATCCTTCGACAAAGCCTGAGTCTTTATCTTTTTTCTTCTTTGGTGGAGCCTGGCCATAATGTGGTGGTGGAGGACCTTGATAAGGATATTGCGGTGGAGGACCTTGAGGATATTGCTGCGGAGGAGGATAGCCTTGTGCCGGATATGCCTGGCCGTACCCTTGCGGCGGCGGAGGATAACCTGGCGCCGGAGGATATCCCGTTGGTGGATATCCTTCTTTTGGAGGATACCCTTTAAAACAACAACAACAACATCAGAATTTTGAAAACAGGAAGAAAAAAAAATCAAGAAAAAATAATTAAAGGAATAACCTTGAGGAGGAGGAGCACCAACGGGATGATGTTGATCTTGATGCATCTTCTTCTCTGCTTTGCTCTTATCTGAGGTTTTTTTCCTTTCTTTATAACAAACTCTCTGCTTCTTCTTCGCTGTGAAATGGAATAAAATTAGGATTATTGAGGATAATAAAGGAGGCTTTAGGAGACAAAAGACATGTTCTCTCCAAGTACTAATCTTAGATCATGGAGATTAACTATAATTAAAAAAAATATTACAAGTGAGAGACGACCAACTCACTTTGTGGAATCATTCATTAAAATGCTATAGAAATTTCACTCTTTACCAAAAAAGATGACTTTTCTTTCTGTCGTTTATTATCATACATCATCTTCCATTATTCAAGTTGATATTAATCTATAGTGAGCTTCACATCATTGATGACGACTACACACATGAAGAAAAGTATAATCTTTGATTGGTCAAGAAATTTTTGGGCCAATGGCATCTTGTATTTCGAAGTTGAAATCTTGGACCCAGCCATAAATGAGAATTTTTTTTCAATAAGAAATATATATGCTTGTTGCTTTGTACACAAGCAATCTCTAGAATTCAAAGATATTAACACACAATCCTTAAAGAAATAACTCTTTTTTATTGCTTAAGAAAATCACTCAAAACTTAAGCTTCTCACAAAACTCATAAGTGTTGCAACAATCCCTGCAACTTCTTATATAATAGTTTAGAAGAAAACTCCTAATTCTCCTAGAACTAGGTCTTTAGATAACTCCTAAAGACAAATGGAAAACTTCCTAAAAACCATTAAGTATTTCCTAATTACTCTAGGAAATATTCTAAGCTAACTTTATCTCTAAGTTAACTTCAAGCTTATCCAACAATCTCCCCTTTAAGCTTGAAGTCATCTTTCTTCAAGACTTGCATACCAATGAGATCTCTCATCTCTTTAAACTTGATCCTTCCTAAAGCTTTGGTCAAAATGTCAGCTCTCTGCTCATTGCTCGGAACATGTTCAACCTCAACTTGTCCATTCTCAACGCACTCCCTTATAAAATGAAATCTTCTGTGAATGTGTTTGCTTCTTCCATGAAAAACAAGATTTTTGGTCAGTGCAATTGCAGATTGATTATCGATCCTAATAACAACTTTCTTAACCGGCGAACAAGTAACTTCACTAAGTAAATCCTGCAACCATATTGCCTGTCTCGCTGCTTCAGCATGCCATGAATTCAGCTTCACAAGATGATAAAGCAACTATTTCTTGTTTCTGCGAACACCAGCTAATCAGACTATCTCCAAAATAGAATATATGACCAGCTGTGCTTTTGCCATCGTCTGGATCAACATTGTGTGAGCTGTCGCTGTAGCCAACTAGTTTTGGTATCTCTGACCTTGAACACCTAAACTCTAAGCCAAGTTCAGTAGTTCCTCGCAAGTACCTTAGACAGTGTTTCATTGCAGCTCCATGAGATTCTCGCGGATCCTGCATATAACGACTTAGAACTCCAACTGCAAAAGATAGATCTGGTCGTGTATGTATCAGATAACGAAGGCATCCAACGCTTTTCCTGTATTGTGTGGCATCAACCTCCTTCTCTTCGATAGATTTAGATAGTTGTAACCCATTCTCCATTGGTGTATGAGCTGAGTTACAACCTTCCATTCCAGACTCTTCCAAGATTTTAAGAGCATAACGTTTTTGATTTAACGTTATTCCTCCCCTGTACTGATGTACTTCAATTCCCAAATAGTATGTTAATTTGCCAAGATCGCTCATGTCAAACTTTGATGCCATTCTCTCCTTGAATTCGTTAATGACGCTTCTTGTAGTTCCTGTTACAAAGAGATCATCCACGTAAACTGCTACTAAGAGAAGATGTTCTCCTACTCTTTTCCGATAGACTGATGGCTCCTTCGAACATTTTTCGAACTGCAGTTGAACAAGTATCTGGTTCAGTTTATTGTTCCATGCTCTTGGAGCTTGCTTCAAGCCGTACAAAGCTTTATGAAGTTTGTACACTTTTCCTTCGCTTCCCTTAACTTCAAATCCCTCTGGCTGTGACACGAAAACAGTTTCTTTTAACTCTCCATGTAGAAACGCTGTTTTAACGTCGAGATGGTGTATCTCCCATTCTCTAGAGGCTGCAAGGCTGATAAGAAGTCTCACTGTCTCATGCCGAGCTACTGGAGCAAAAACCTCCTCAAAGTCAACCCCATATCGCTGTACATACCCCTTTGCAACGAGGCGAGCTTTGTGTTTGTTGATGGTTCCATCGGAGTTTCGTTTGAGTTTGAATACCCACTTTAGACCAATTGCTTTTGCTCCCGGTGGTAAATCTACAAGACTCCAAGGCTGATAAGAAGTCTCATTGTCTCAAGCCGAGCTACTGGAGCAAAAACCTCCTCAAAGTCAACCCCATATCGCTGTACATACCCCTTTGCAACGAGACGAGCTTTGTGTTTGTTGATGGTTCCATCGGAGTTTCGTTTGAGTTTGAATACCCACTTTAGACCAATTGCTTTTGCTCCTGGTGGTAAATCTACAAGACTCCAAGTCTGATTTTTCTTAATCGAACTGATCTCGTCTTCACAGGCCATCATCCATTCTTTCGATTCACTTGCCTCTATGAAGTTCCTTGGTTCACCCTCTTCTTCTGCAAAACAGAAGAAATCCTCTAGATATTTGGGCTTAGTGGTTTCCCTTTGTGACCTTCTTAGAACCGGTGACTGATAATTTGTTTCAGAATCAGCACCACTATCTTCGCGTTCATGAGAAGCTTTGATTTCACCATTATCAGCTTCTGTTTCTCCCTTATAATCCTCTGTTCCATGTTCCTGCTCTGTTTCGAGATGTTCTGTTTCGATACCATGATTCCCAAACTCTCTGAGTTTTATTTGAAAGCTTCCATCTTGTTGTTGACGAGTCTTGCCAGAGTTCCAGTTCCAGCCTTTTTCTTCGTCAAAAATAACATCTCGGCTAACCACTATTTTTCGTGTTTGAGGATCCATCAATCTGTATGCTTTTGAACCAGGTTCTGTCCCAAGATAAACAAGCTTTCTTGATCGATCTTCCAGCTTCTTTAAGTGTGGGCTTTCTATCTTCGCGTAAGCAATACATCCGAATATCCTGAGATGATTGATGGTTGACTTTTTGTCTCGATAACATTCATAAGGAGTCTTGTCCTTTACTGATCTCGTAGCTACTCGATTTAGGAGATAAGTGGTAATTTGGCATTTGCATATGCTTCATGATGCTTCTTCCCATGCCCATCATCGTTCTGTTACGTCTCTCCACCACGCCATTCTGCTGTGGGGTGTATGGGGCTGTAAGATGTTGTTTTACTCCGTGTTTGTCGCAGAAATCATTAAACTCTTGTGAAACGAATTCTCCTCCTCTATCTGTTCTAAAAGTCTGCAGTTTTGTTCCAGTTTCTTGTTCTGCTAGACTCTTGAACCTTTTAAACTTGTCGAAAGCATCTCCTTTCTCTTTAAGCAAGATGGTCCACATATATCGTGAATGATCGTTGATGAGGACAAAGATGTACATGTTCCCTGCTGCTGTACTTGGCATTATTGGTCCGCATAGATCACCGGGTACAAGCTCAAGTTTCCTGCTGGCTCGGTATGCAGTAGCTTGGGGAAAGACTTTCCTTGTTTGTTTCCCACGTAAACACGAGTCACAAACTCCTTTTTCGATGTCTACTTGTGGAATTCCCTTTACAAGTTCTTTTTGTATCATGTTTTTGATACTTGCCATGTTGACATGTCCTAACCTGGCGTGCAATTTATTTGATTCACTCATCGCAGTTAGCTGTAGACACGCATCATTTGCTATTTCCATCCGAACTTTGTATAGGCGATTTCGAGATCTGTTTGCCTTGACAAGTAGTTTGCCGTCGTTGTCGTGCATCGTCAAGTAGTCTCCCTTCATTCTTATATCGCACCCTGATTCAGTTGCTTGACCAAGACTGATTATATTTGATTTTAGATCTGGAATGAAGTAGACGTTCTTTATTACCCTTGCATCGCCGTTTCTGTCTAAGAATGATATCGATCCTTTCCCTTTGATATCAATCCGTGAATCATCTCCAAAACGAACCTTTCCAGTGACAGAGTTGTCGACTTTTGTAAAATACCTCCTGTCTCCGGTCATATGGTTGCTTGCACCATTGTCGAGATACCATGTATATTCGTCTTTGGTGTTAGTCTCATAGTCGCTTGGAGTACAATTCTTCTCATTCAAATACATTACTTCGTGCATCAATAGCTCATCTGCATCTTCGGTATTTTCTTTGCTGTTTTCTTGTGCTTCTTGCAGTTTTAGCAACCGATCAGGTCAGCTAGACGCGTAGTGACCCTGTTTATCACAGCGATAACAGGTAATTTTCGACAGATCAACGTTCCTTGTTGAATCTCCTTTGTCTCCATTGAAACGTCCTCGTCCTCTTCCTCTAGAATAAAACCGTCCACCGCGTCCTCTGCCTCTATTTTCACCATTGAAACTTCGATTTTGAGACTCTGTGTTTGTCCACATTAGCTTTGTCTGATCATCTTGAGTAGTTTCTTCCTCTGTTTCAAAGATTCGTTCTTCATTGCCTTCAATCTCCCAACGATATCTTCAAAAGTTGTAGTATTAAGGTCTAATACTTGCTCAAGAGATGGGACGATATATATGTACTTCTTTCTTGGAAGACTTTTAAGAAATTTCTTGACCAATTTTGATTCCTCAATGCTTACTCCCAGAGCGACAGACTTTGATGAAATCTCAGATAGTTTACCCGAGAATTCGTCTATGTTTTCTGTGTCTTTCATCTTGAGGCGGTCAAATTCAGTCATGAGAGTCTGCAATCGTGCTTCTTTAACCCTATCTGCTCCCATATATTTCGATTTTATAGCCTCCCACACCTTCTTTGCGGTCTCTAATTTTCCAACTTGCAGGGTAAAAGTCTCCGGTATAGACTGAAACAACAAAGCCATTGCCATGTCGTTCTTCCTTTCATCTGTTGTTTCGGTTTCTATGGCTTCCCAAACTTTGTGAACTCTGAGACATACTCTCATTCTCATTGCCCAGACATTATAATTTGTTGCAGTGAGCATCGGACATTGGATAGAAGAAGATCCTCCTCCTTCTTTTGAATTTGTAATCGTTGGTACCAAATCGCCCATGGTGCCTGGTTTTATGATCCTCGTCTATGAACTCTAGTTATCGCTCTGATACCAATTCTAGAATTCAAAGATATTAACACACAATCCTTAAAGAAATAACTCTTCTTTATTGCTTAAGAAAATCACTCAAAACTTAAGCTTCTCACAAAACTCATAAGTGTTGCAACAATCCCTGCAACTCCTTATATAATAGTTTAGAAGAAAACTCCTAATTCTCCTAGAACTAGGTCTTTAGATAACTCCTAAAGACAAATGGAAAACTTCCTAAAAACCATTAAGTATTTCCGAATTACTCTAGGAAATATTCTAAACTAACTTTATCTCTAAGTTAACTTCAAGCTTATCCAACACAATCAACCTAAGAAATACTACAAATTAGGGATGTTACTTGTTACAGCATTCGTACACTACAAAGTTAAAAGCCTAATCAAATAATTAGTGTGATGATATTTTTCTTTTCTTATCGCACATTGTGAATTTGATATGAAAGATATATAAGTTTGACACCGAAAATGAGTTTGATGATGGCTCAATGGGTAATTTGTTTTTGTTCAACTACTGTCTACTGATAAAAGAAGAGAGTAAATGTTAATATTAGTGAATAGTGACTAACACATTTTTAGTTTTTACATATACAAAAGATGGACAGCATGCCCTGAATCAATAGTCAAATAAAAATAGAATTCACAAGACTTGAAGTCAAATTTGAATTCAAGACCAACAAAAAATAAAATAAAGAACAGAAACAAACACAAAATGTGAACACACATATACATACAACATCTGCACACACATAAACCAGAAGAAATTAAGAAATCTAAATGTTGATCAAACAAGTCCCTTTTAACGGCAATATCATATTTTCCTCCAAATCAAAAGCAAGCTTCCAAGAGGCAACAACAGCAGAGCATAGTCAAACTGTAACACAAATACATATTACAAATAAGTAACATTAATTCACAAAAATCACAAGCAAAAGATATAAGATGTATACTTTAAATAGGTCAAAACGCACCATCCTTCGACAAAGCCCTGAGTCTTTATCATTTTTTATCTTTTTTCTTCTTTGGTGAACGTGGAGGACCTTGATTCGTTGGATAACCTTGAGGATAATGCGGCAGAGGATAACTTGGCGCCGGATCTGCCTGACCATATCTGTACTCCTGCGTTGGAGGATAAACTGGCGCCGGAGGATATTTTTTCTTTGGAGGATACCCTTTAAAACAACAACAACAACAACAACAACATCAGAGAATTTTGAAAACAGGAAGAAAAAAAAAAATCAAAAGTAATTTAAGGAATAACCTTGAGGAGGAGGAGCACCAACGGTATGTTGTTGATCTTGATGCATCTTATTCTCTGCTTTGCTCTTACCTGATTTTTTTTTCCATTCTTTATAACGAACTCTCTGCTTCTTCTTTGCTGTGAAAATGGAATAAAATTAGGATTATTGAGAATAATAAAGGAGGCTTTAGGAGACAAAAAAAATACATGTTTCTCTCCAAGGACTAATCTTAGATCATGGAGATTAACTATAATTAAAAATATTACAAGTGAGAGACGACCAACTCACTTTGTGGAATCATTCAAATTATTCAAGTAAATCTATAGTTAGCTTCACATCATCGATGACTACACATATGAAGCAAAAGTATAACCGATGATTCTTTATTGGCCAAGATCATATTTTTGCCAATGGCATCTTGTAATTCGAATTATAAAAAAAAAATATAACTTAATAGATACCCTGAAAAATCAATAAGAAATGAGGACTTTTTCCATTAGAACAATACTTGAGATCTTATTGATTTTACGACCCATCCATAAATGAGGTCTTTTTTCAATAAGAAATATATGCTTGTTGCTTTGTACACAAGCAACCTAAGAAATACACACTAGGGTTGTTACTTGTTACAGCATTCTTACCCTACACAGTTACAAGAGTCTCTACACTCTCCTACCGGTTCAAAACTTTCACTTCAGAACCAGAAAAACCATCTCCTACGCTTAACTGTATCAATGAATTTACTGGTCGATGAATCCTCTATTGGATTCACGCTGATTCTTTTGGCGTTTTTCACTGCCCATTCGCCAAAACCGGGTGAAGAAACCAGTTCCTTGACCGCCTTCTCGGTGCTCTCTCTAGTGAACTTTGCCAATTCTTCCTTGGTAAACTTTCTTCTCCCTTCTTGTGTTTTGTGGAACGAAGAAGGAAAGGTATCTGAATCAGAGAGGGATGTTTTCCTCGGCATCTTGTTCATTCCTGCAAAGACCATAAAGCCAGTTCTTTAAGAACATTACGAAATAAAGGGCTTAGTATCGATGAAATTAGACTCCTAGAGACGCAAAAAGCAAAAAAAAAAAAAGGCCAAAACCTTTAGGAAGAGGAGAAGCAAACGTAGTAACATGGATTAAGCCACGGATACAATTCTCAGTTTCAACATCTTGCTCAACGATTCTTTGAGATAAGAGTTTTCTAATGATACTCTTTAGAATTGATGAGATTAGAGTTCCAGATATCAACGCTCCTCCAGCAAGCAAAGGATCAACAGAGCTCTGTTAATTAACACAAAGATCATGACCTCATGTTTGGTTATAATTAAAGAGGAATCAGAAAGTTGTAGAAATGAAAAAAACAAACGAACCAAAAAACCTGAAGGATCAGAATCACAGCAAAAGCTCGGATGGTCCAAGAGACAAAGATTGATGTGGTAATGTCAATAGAACCATCTTTTGTCAAAACAAATTTCTTGACAGTCCAAAATCCTGACCATGCTCCAAACAGAAATACAAAAGCACCCGCAAGAATCGCCATCTGCAGAATTCACATAAGCCGTTTTATAGATTCACCAAACCGAAACAAGTATATGTGACATAATAAAGATATCAAAAAACTTACATACAGGGATGTACAAATCTTCACTGATTCGTATCTGCGTTATTAGCAGATGTTGAATGAACCCGCAAAAGTATTCAAGAAAGTAACCTCCAACACCAATCTGAGAAGTTAAAAAAACGAGTTGCTTAGTAGATGAATAAATGTTTGATTGAAACAAGAGAGGTCAAAGAAAAGACAATCTCACCATGGATGAGTACAGAAACAACTCAAGCCGACTCTTCCCTCTTGTTGGGAGACGCTTCATCCCCTGTACACAATCATTAAACCCGTTAACTAGAGAGAAATCATGAGATATATATAAGCAAGGATTTTGAGGAAAAAAAATCAATTTTGTTATACCTGGTTAATGATAAGAGTTGCAAGAATGATAATCCCAATGGACATGGCACAGATGTAGTAAAACGGTAATGACATACTCAGTGTAGAAGCCGAACTCAGCAACACAATCCCCATGATTAGAAACACCATACGGTACATGAAGAACTCTGCATAGCGGATAAATGATAAGATTTTGAATTTGCAAAGAATATATACAACGAAACCAAGACAAAGTATATACCTTGTTTAGCAGAAAACTCCAAGGTGAATTCAGATGAGCCACCAGATGTTCTTATATCGAGGATCTTGTAGTCGAATGGTGACATTATCCCGACCCACGAGCCTTTGGATACTTTCTTCCACTGACCATGAGGGCACATTCCAATCGCAAGTGACGAATTTCTACAAACAGAGAGAGAGAAAAAGCAGAAAGCTTGGATTTTTCAGTGTAATTCAGAGCTGAGTTTGACACAGATTATAGATAAAGATTCCGGATTTCTTTTACCTGTGGAAGCAAACGTCTATACTTGTTCGTAGAATGTTGGAAGTATTACTTGAAAGGACCAGCTTCAGTGAATGTGCATACTTATCAATGTGCTTGAGCCTTTGTAATCCATTGATGTGTAATCTCTCGCATATCGAATTTCTACAAGAAGAATCCGTAACCTCAATTCTCGGAGTCACTTGGAGTGAAACAGTTTCACTCGCAACTGCCAATGACGACGATATAATAAGAAATTGTATGGTGAAAAAGACATCAAAATTGGATCTTTTTTGGGTAGAAGAAGTCTATCGAAATTATCTTAGCTAAGTAAGAAACAAAAGTATGAAAGAATTCAAGAAAAACCCTAGAAGTCTACACCATTCTCCAACAAAAGACGGCGACATAAAGGAATGAAGAAAAAAAAAAAAAAAAACTTACCGGAGACAAGTTCATCGGAGAAGACAACGGAGAAGAAAGGGAAGAGACTGAGGATTAGAAGCACGAAAATGAAATTGGAGCTTCGCACAAAGCCTGATGAGTTACTCATCGAATTTTCTGGGTTCTTTTTTTTGGATGGAAAAATTCGAACGAACGAATCAACGAAGTAAGCCGCGGATTTATTGATCAGATCATTTTTTAAAGATTTAAGAGTTGGAGTGAAATTGTTGAGAGACGAAGTTTATTGTTGGGCTAGGCCTAGTAGATATCAAATAGGCCCAGTTTTCGTTATCATCGTCGCGTAAATTAGGGTGAAATGTTAACTATACCAATCCATATATAAGGGGTTCAAGTAGTTCCTTCTTCATCCTCTTAAGGGTTAGCCGCGTACAAAACTAATATCTCCAATTTCTCTCTGATCTTACTTCTATTTTTTTTTTCTATAACTCTTGCTTAACACGAAAATAGTTATGTTGTAAATATATGTTGTTTGGGATTTCAAAACTGTTCAAATATGAACTGTTTTGATAATCCCATGCAACATATGTTTATGACATTATTTAATCCGGTTAAGCCATCTAATTTCTTTATTTCGCAAGATGTTTGATTCATGTTTACTTTTGTTCATGTTTCTTGGTTTAATATTAAAAATCAAAATACTAGTTCTAATTTTGGTTTAATTTCGGGTTTTAAAAAAAATAATAGGATTCAAATGTCATTGAGAGTATAATGAGTTATATGAGTTAATATCAGTCTTTTCTCCAAAGTTACTTTATTTAGGTTTTGAGAAAGAAAAAAAGCTACCCTTTAGTTTTTTTATTAAAAAAAATTTCATGTTATTTAACTCGAACTCTCTCAATAGCTTCTCTATGAAGAAGCAAAAGATTATATGTTTCGCCGAACTATTACTTTTTACTCTTTTAGTCAGTTTAGTGTTCAATACAACACCTAACCAGTCAGTGCTAAAAATGAAAAGTTTTTTTAAAAAAAGGATCTGGTGCTAATACGACGCCGTTTATGATAATATTTTTTTTAACAAAGCTCACTTGATATGCCAATGCCCAAGTGTACCTCCTCCACCTAAATAAATGGCCCAAAGTAGTTTTTATTTTGTTTTCTGAGGATTAAACGTTTTGGTCAATGGAACTTGCAAGAAAATGAAGTTACGGATTTTGCAACGGCTTGTACACTAAATAGCTCACTCTTTTTTCCCTCTCCATTATAATTTGCTTCAGTATATATACAGATTTTTTTAACTTATTAAAACAGATGTCTTGAATTTTTATTTATATCACCTAAGCTGTCAATCTCGGCCTTATATTTCTATTACCAATTTTAATCTAAATCCAAATAAAGTAAACAGATACGGAAAACAAACTGAGAAATATTGCAAAAGATCGGAATTGAAATTACATTACATACTTCATCAGAAAAAAGATTTTAGTTTAGTTGAGAACTTGAGATTGTTGTACTTTCGACTAAAAGTGAAATTGTTATTGCACAAATGTCATTTGCTCTGTCAAAAACGTTTGGTTGGTTAATTAATATTCATTTATTTACTAAATGGTATAACTTAAGTAACTATTATAAGGTATATGGTGTTATACTGTTATCAATGCCATCATTTACGTATTTTAACAAAAAGTAAAAAAAAAAACTATTGCTATGTGTACTTCCAATTAGTAATGAAAAATAGTATCGTTTTCAAAAACAACTAAATTAACCTTCAAGCTTTGTTACACATCAACATTCAACACTGGTAGATCCAAATTTCGAAATTAGCAACCATAAAATATTAATCTTTCAGATGATCTATTTCTTGGTCAACAGATGATCTTTCTGTGTGATTTGTGAAAAATCAAGAAAAGAGTCTTCTTCTTCAAACTCATCATCACAAGAAACCTCCTCGTCGATTCGTCCCATCACTCCAACACATCTATAGTTCCTCCGGCGATCCAACGGTGCCGATTGTCTCATCGTCTCTAGAGATTGTCCGCCACGTGTCAGACACCCTTGATCATGTGCCGTGGAGGTCAAGGTAAAGCTTCGGGGAAGAGACGTGCTAGGAGGATCGCAGATTTGAAAGTTTCCGGCAATCTGACCAAAACCAGAGGATTCACCGCCTGTAAGGATTCCGGCGCCGGAACATGACGTAATGCTTCGTATGTATGCGTCACGTGCCATGATCAACAAACGAAAAGGAGCCTTCACCAACCATACAAAGCTGTTTTCTCTCTCTATGCTTCTCTTTTTCATTATTTGATTTGATTCTTAAGATTCGGATATAAATAGTTTATATTATAAGGTTTCTATGGGTTCGAAACAGATATATAAGACAAAGAAATGCTCAAAGATTTATAAGACAGTTAGACAGGATCAAAGGGAAGACGAAGTCCATGATGAATTTATATATGAAGAATGAATTTCTAACAACAAAATTATGAATGTGATAATATATTCTTAAATGTGTCTAGTTGAATGATTTAATTACATTTCTTGTTACTATATGTTTAGTTTTATTAAAGTGTTTGTTGGAAACTCAAATCTACTTTATTCATAACATTATTCAATCTGGAAAGTTAAGGGAGGTTGGTTTGACCTACTTTCTTTCAAACATGTCAATGTCATCGCTTAGTGTGATAGATCGGCCCATGTATTAGCTTGGCCCAATATTAACACAATTGAATAGCATTGTTGTTTGTAATCAATACATTACTCTTATCCACAAAATACAAATAGCTAACTGAATCCTATTGTTTGGATACTCATGGTATGTATTATTAAACCGGTCGGGTTAGTTTGATTCGAAGTTTTTCATGTGAGGAGATCACAATGCTACTCTGGTTGGGATTTCTAACAATCTCAAACTATTCGCATGTTTGTACAATTAATACTAAAACGAAAATAATATATGTATTCGATTTACAGGTATTTAAAAATAAATTTGAAAACTCTTGTAATGTTAATGCACTATTTAAATCCTAGATTATATGTTCTGAAAAGCTTGGGGTTATTACTAACAGAAACTTTTAGTATCAGCAAAATTGAATGTATACGTGTATAAGTTTTCAAATATAGGTGCATAATACATGTGAATGTACATACTATATAGACATAGATATAGGGTTTAGAGCGTCACGAGACAATTCATAGTTGCTAGAGAATCAAAGGTGATAAAATAATAGAATACGCGTATCAATGCAGTATATACCTTTAATTTTGATTCCATTGTGTATCCACTTTTTGCAATTTTTATTGTATGTACAATTTGTCTCACACTTCTTTATCGTTAGAAGAAATGAGCTAAAATACTAAAGACAAACGCATGCGTAACGTTGCAGTATATGCATTCATGTTAATCGATGTCATGGCCTCGATGGATATCACCGAGGAATGAAAACGGTAGTAAATGAAAATAAATAAGAAGCGTGGAATGCTATAACCTTAAAATAACAACAAAGTTGCATAACTATTAGTGTTGAATCTCGCCACCGCCACGTCGAAAAAACTTCAACCACAAAGGTCCAACACTTTACCGCTCATCTATAATAGGGTCGTCTGTTAGTAGTAGTACTTATGCGAATAGAACGATCGAACATGGTCTTAATTAGACTCAAATACCCATGTAAATTCTAAGGTGGTGAATTAACTTATTAACAGGGCATGGGCAAATCTAGAATACTAACACGAGTTTGATGTCCGAAATCGAATTAATAATGAAGAAACACACTAAAAAGGGAAATAACATAAAAAAAAAAACTTTTGGCAAAAAAATCTAGAGATTATTTTCACCATTGTTCATCTTGAAGATGTTGCTTTATACCACAAAATAAATCATGAAGATTCAAACTAAAAATGTATTCTCTTCATTTCCAGTTTAATTTTGTGTCAATTGACTAAATTTTAATCCCAGATCAAATATCATCTGATTCATATTCGCGTTCTGACTAACATTATATATGTTTATAAATGAATTACATATGTAAGTATATGGTTATATCAAACCATCTGATTCATATACACGTTTTAGTCAAATTATATATATGTTTAATTCACATTTTGAAGATGTTGCTTTATACCACAAAATAAATCATGAAGATTCAAACTAAAAATGTATTCTCTTCGTTTCCAGTTTAATTTTGTGTCAACTGACTAAATTTTAATCTCAGATCAAATATCATCTGATTCATATTCGCGTTCCGACTAACAATATATATGTTTATAAATGAATTACATATCTAAGTATATGGTTATATCAAACCATCTGATTCATATACACGTGTCAAATTATATATGTCTAATTCACATTTTAGTCAAATTATTCATTAGAAAATAACGATTAAAACAGACGTGTAATTCAAAGGTATGTATTATGGATGACTAAGTTGTTATTACATCTTGACAAAGAAGAGGTAGTATTTTATGTTATTCACGAATATCAGACCCATGCATGGTTAAGCATCCGTTAATTCGTTTCCTTTTTAAGTTTAATGTTTACTTTTCATTTTATATATATACCGCGAGATTTTTAGTTTCGATGATTTTCTGTTGGTTAATTATACATTTATTTGGTGACATTTATTTAGTAGTCACCTTTTATAAATTGTTAACTCTAAATAAGGAAAACTCTGCCTTTAATATATTTTTCTTTAGTGAGCATTATTTATTTTTTACGAAATTGTAAGTCACATTTTTGTTATTTCGCTTTCACGAAATTGCTAAGCTTTTATTCGTAGGCCCCTTTGTCAATAGTCACCACCATTCACCAGTCATTAGCACTCGGTCCGTATTAATACTAGCAAGAGATAATCAAGTTTTTATTATAGTATTATTTTTAATAATATACCTATCAATCTCCATATCCCCAAGGCTCGAAAACTTGATTACAAAACACGTCATATCACATTTAAACACTTGCCGGTCCACTTTTGTAAGTTAGTTTGACTAGCAAAACTTCAACATAGAAAAAAAAAAACATTTTGAGCATTAACAACTCTAATAAAAAAAAAATCATTTCATTTGAATCTGCAATTTCATTTCAAAAATGGGTCCAGTAATTAATATAATCGTATTAAATAATTATGAAAACAATTTTTGGACAGCAAACTTTGCAGTTATGGGTCAGTACTCAACTGCAACAAAAACAACACATGGTCTCAGATCTCTCTCTGCGTCTCCCCACTCCCATCAATTTCACTTATTATTAAATTATCTTGATTTGGTTAGATTGTTTTTAAGAAAATTAACATTTTTGAAAAACAATTAATAAATTTAATCAAGGTTGGGTGGGGAAGAGGCAATCTGGACACGTGTTGAGAAACGAATGGTTGAAAGGAACAGTCAAAGGCAACAAAGATTAGACTGAGGATGGATCGAGGCTTACAGTCAAAGCAAGACACTGTCACGGTCAAATGTCTAGCTGGCTCTTTTGCTTGTGGTCCCTACTTACTCTCTCTCTCTCTCTTTTTTTTCTTTTTCTTTTTAATTTCCTCTTTTTAATATATTTGTGTCCAGCTCTTTTTTTTTTTGTATTTTAATAATGATCCTCCAAGATGTTGAAACTGTGTAAATTAATCTTGAACTTTTTTAAGAGAGACTATTATGTTAACTTAAGAACTATGAAACGAAACTGTTCGAGTTATTTTGAAATTTGTAGATTTTAATAGCACTCACAGGGATTTTTATCTCACAGGGATATGAATCTTTTATTTATAAAAATAGATGAAGAAGGGATTGATGTTAAAAAAAAAAAGAAGATAAAAAGGGTATTGGCTAATCAAAGCTGAGAGTTGATGGTGTTAATTACAATGGTAAAAGTGAAATAAAATGATTAATTAGGAAATTAAACCTAGAAATTATCGTCGCACGTGCCCGACCTGTACGGGTTACTCTTCCCCGTGGGTGTTTGGAGTTTAGTGAAACTCATCAGCTTTTTTTGACTACGTGCGGGATTTTCTTTACTTCCTTATTTACGAATTTACCCTCTTTTCTGTATAACCTTTTTTTTTTGTTTGGACCTAGGAAAGTATTAATACTTATAACTAGCGTGGATATTAAGAAAAACAAAAAGAGCTAAAAAAGAGGGTTAAGAATTTCACTGTCGTTCTATAATTCTTTTGACTAATTAAGGATATACCCGCTATAAATTCTTTATATTTATCGCAAAAGATAAAAACAATGAACTAAAGTAATTATTCCACACTCTATTGATCAAAATTGAAACCCCTCTACAACTTGAAATTTTCATTTGACGAATTAACTTTTTTCTTTCTTGGGACTGGTTGTTACAAGAGTTTTATTGGGTGCCTTTAATTTTACGTTTTATAGCTGCTTTATTTATATGATAACTAGTAGTCAGGACTAGGGAACTTGGTAATCTAAAAGGTTAAGGCTAGGGACAAAATTGGGAATCTGAAATTACCAACTGAGTTTTTCAATTTAGTAAATAAAATAAAAAACTAAAAAGTTGTATTATAATGAAACCGGGAGGTGGGGGCATGTGGTGGAGCTTGCACGTGTGGTGCGCGAGTCGAGAGGACTAAATGACCCGCTATAGCCAGTAATTCCCCGGTCACCTTATCTTTATTTTTTTTATTTTTTTTCAATTTTCAACCCCGAATCTTTCAAGAAATCTTTAACTTCTCCTTTTATTTTTTTATTTTTTTTTAATAATAACTTTTTTTCAAGGAAACAAAAACAAAACAATCACTCACTACCCCAGAAGAGGGTAAGAGAGAAGAAAACAAAACAAGAGGGTACGGGCTTCTTCGTCATTCCTCACGAATTCGTCATCTGGGTTCTCTCAAATTCTCTTCCTTTTTTATCTTCTGAGATTTTCTGAGTGCAAAGTGCAAACCTGATTTAGTTTGTTTGTACTGGGTCTCTCTCTCTCTTATTTCTTCTTCTTCTCATTCTTCATGATTTCTCATTTTTCCTCTGTTTCTCGAAATTTGTGGTTATAAATTCACATTTTTGGGTGCGGTTGGGCTTCAATCATGTGTTTATGATGTTGAATTATTAAATTAGAGTTGAATGAGATCTTCTTTTTGACCGTTGAAAAGAGGAAACAAAAAAAAAAGCAAAGGGCAACCAAAAAAAAAAGGCAAAGAGGAAGAAGAAGATTGTGTTTTGTTTAACGCTCTTTCTGAGATAAAGACATGCGTTTCTTTTCTTCACTCTTTTTTAGCTCTCCTTTTGTTTACTATCAATGTTTCATAAAGAGATTTTCCCAAATGCTCTGAGCTAGTTAGAGAGAGAGAGAGAGAGCTCCTATAAAAATTGGGTTTTGATTTTTCCCTTTAATTGATAGATTTCTAATTTTTGGGGAAAAATGCCGATGTATCAGCCGTTGAAGAGAGATGGGCTAATTGGATTTGAAGGTGGTGGTGATGGGCAAGTCTTAGATCTGGATACGGCGGTGAAAGACGGAGTTCTCGGCGGCGGCGTTAATGGCGGTGGAGTTGTTGATGAGAAATTGGATCTGAAGAAGATGATAAAGGAGCTAGATTTACAAGATATTCCCTCTGTTTTCATCTGCCCTATCTCTCTTGAGCCGATGCAAGATCCTGTGACCTTGTGCACTGGTCAAACCTACGAAAGGTCAAACATTCACAAATGGTTTAACCTAGGCCACTTGACTTGTCCCACGACAATGCAGGAGCTTTGGGATGATACGGTAACTCCTAACAAAACCCTTCACCACTTGATCTACACTTGGTTCTCTCAGAAGTATGTGTTGATGAAGAAACGCTCCGAGGATGTGCAAGGACGAGCTATTGAGATTCTGGGGACGTTGAAGAAAGCTAAAGGTCAAGCTAGGGTTCATGCGTTGAGCGAGCTTAAGCAGATCGTTGTGGCTCATCTGATGGCGAGGAAGACTGTTGTTGAAGAAGGAGGTGTCTCTGTGATCTCTTCTCTTTTGGGTCCTTTCACTTCTCACGCCGTTGGATCTGAGGTTGTTGCGATTCTCGTGAGTCTTGATCTTGATTCGGATTCCAAATCCGGGTTGATGCAACCTGCTAAGGTTTCTTTGATTGTTGATATGTTGAATGATGGATCCAACGAAACGAAAATCAACTGCGCGAGATTGATAAGAGGATTGGTGGAAGAGAAAGGGTTTAGAGCAGAGCTGGTTTCGAGTCATAGTTTGCTTGTTGGGTTAATGAGACTGGTTAAAGATAAGAGACACAGAAATGGAGTTTCCCCTGCACTTGGTTTGCTCAAACCAATCTCGGTTCATAAACAAGTTCGAAACTTGATGGTTAGCATTGGAGCAGTGCCTCAATTAGTCGATATCTTACCTTCATTAGACCCGGAGTGTTTGGAGTTAGCTCTGTTTGTTCTTGATGCTTTGTGTTCCGACATGGAAGGAAGAGTTGCTGTCAAAGACTCTGCAAACACCATACCTTATACTGTCAAGGTACTGATGAGAGTGTCTGAGAATTGCACAAACTATGCATTGTCGATTCTTTGGTCTGTCTGCAAATTAGCTCCAGAGGAATGTTCACCTCTTGCTGTTGAGGTCGGTTTGGCTGCAAAGCTCTTGCTCGTTATCCAGAGCGGGTGTGATCCGGCGTTGAAGCAGCGATCAGCGGAGCTACTCAAGCTCTGTAGTCTACATTATTCAGATACCATGTTTATCTCCAAATGCAAACTCACAAGGACAATCCAATAACGAAAAGGTTAAATCTTTGGCACCGATCGATCACAAGACACACATATTTCAGTGGATATCCATGAAATGGTAAATGCGGGTTGCGAATCTGCCTCTGCCCTGATGTGTATATATAGATGAAGAGTTTGAAGATCCAGCTATTGGTTTTGGCGGTTACAATTCAAAGGAGAAAAGCAAGCAATCCGCAGATGGGAACTCGGGGAAGACGAAGCTGCGTGGGTGTGAGGATGGGTATGTAACGGTTTTCATGTTGGTTCGGTTTGCATTAGCAAAAAATGTGTAAAGTTACCGCCTTTGGTTCAATCAATTTCAGAAGAAAGAAAAAAGAAGCATTTGAAGAAGAGAAAGGAATCATATTTAGTCTCTTGCTGTTTGTTTTGATTTTTGACCACCCACAAAAGGAAAACAAAAAGGAAAAATCTTTTGACCTGAAACTTGTAGCCTCTTTTAAGCTTTCGAATCTTTTTCCTTCACTCAGTGTTTTCCTATATTGCCTTTTCTCTTAGATTACGAAATTAGACCAAATGTCTTTATTACTCATTATTAGTTCATCTTTGTTCCGAGCCTCACTTATTGTCTTAAATGTGAGAAAGTACCAAAAAAGTGGTGATTCTTGTAAAATCAAATCACTGTTGTTTCCATGGAGTGACATTTCAAAGTACAGTACGATTGTGAATCTGATTCTTGTCTGATAAGTAGTGCATAAATTGTGGTGGAGACCAAACAATTGGTCTGAGCTATTCACTGTTCTAATGAACAATTGAAAAGATTTGTGAGATGTGACAAGTGACAAGTGAATCATTCAACTATTTACTCACCTATTCATTGCCCCATAAACAACACAGGCTTATGTATTGCTTGTCTGTTTTGGAAACGAGACTGAGCAATTCTCTGTTTTGAGTGGGTGTGTGTATATCCTCAGTGTGATGTGAGAGCTTTTTTTGTCTGGACATTGAACAGTTGAAAACAATATAAAAAATGAGCCTGAATTCGAACTATATGGGCCTTTGCTACGAAGCCCATTTAGTGTTCTGTGATCTTGTATGGAAGCTTCATCTCAAATTCCTTTTGCTAGTCATCCTTATCAGTGTCCATATTTCATTATAAGATTCAAAAGTTTCTAGTTCTTGGCTCATATCAAATTTGGTCTTGATGCAGTTATTACGGAAAAAATATCCTCAGTTTTAGTCAGTTGCAGAATGGAATGCACATGCAGCAGGTTTGTTTCTTACTGCAAACTCTGTTGCATTATAAGCCTGTAACCTTTCAGTTTGTAAACCCTTGCTATTAAAATGTCTGACAGGATGCTGAAGAATGTTTGACACAACTGTTATTCACTCTTTTCTCAGTCCTTGAAAGCACCAACTTCAAGCGAAGATTTTGATGCTGTGAATGCTCTCTTTGGTGTCAATCTTAGGAGCAGGTATCCGTGAAAATTTCACATCTCAGTGTAATATATGTCTTATTTTATTTGAAGGTTTTCCTTCAGGGAAATAGATGAAATCTTGGTTGATGTGCTTGTTCATGTTATATTGACTACTGAAAATGTGAATACCTGAGTGGGTTTCTTTCACCTTGTTTAGTATATTCAGTTGTGTTGAAACTGGTTTCTTTGCTATTAGGTTGCATTGTCAAGAAAGTGGCGGAGAAAGCTCAGAGACGGAATCTGTATATTCTCTAAAATGTCATATATCAATGAGGTGAACCACTTGCATGAAGGATTAAAACATGTGAGTAATTTGAATAATTCCAATATAGACTTTGTTTCTGATTTTTTATTTTTTGCATTTTTCTCTGATATAGTGCGTACATATAATAACTTGGACAACGTTTGCATGATATTCTGCTTATCATAATATCTTGTATTTGTCTGATGAACATTCTCAATTCTTCTCGTTTACTGCAGGGGCTGAAAATTTCTAACCAATAGAAGACAACTGAAAATTTATGTCATATATTTCATTAGCTAAAAAGTCAAAAACCAATACAGAAAAAAGAAAATAAAAAGCAGAGGAAAACGGAAACAAAGTAAGAAAAAGAAAAAGAAAACAGAGTAGTGAGGGTCTTGAACTCCTGATGTAGTGCATGACCTTGTGTAGACGCTTCTCTAGCTTTCACTGAAACGGTGGGTTGCTCTTCTTCGGTCACTCTTGTAGCAGCCTCTCCTTTTTTTTACACTACAGAATTAACCAAATGTGTACGTGGGATCAATACAAACACTTAAACTGAAGCACAAAAACAAAGCATTTATACTAGTAATACTCAAATTCACAAATTATTGTTGTAAAAAAAACATTGTGGTTAATTATGTTAGTTTTCTTTTGGTTGTGAATACTTTTAGAAAACTAACATCTAATTTTATTTTCTGTTAAATTCATTGTTTTAAGTAATTTCTATTCTTCGGTAGTGTTTTTTTTTTTGACAGCTGCGGTGGATTGCCTTTAAAGAGAATAATGATATGGAGGACATTCCATTTCAAAAATGGAAATAAAAAGAGGAAAAACGAAATGCCTCTTAAAAGAGCTAGAAATGTCATAAACAAAGAGAAAAACAAGAAAAGTATAGGGAAAAAAGGGGAAACATACATTAATAAGAGCATGATTATAGCTAAATACTCTTTTTGGTTTCTTATCATTATTTTAAAATGCAGAATAAGAAACGTTCTTTGTTTTTTATAGGTTTTCTCTATTTTTTTTAATTGCCAAAAGGCCTTAGAAATCCATGTAAGAGACTGCAATAATCCTGGTCTAAAAGAGATTAGCCGAGAGAGCATTTCAGTTTTGTCTAAAAAACTCAAACAGTTGAAAAAAAAAAAGAGATGGGCCTAAATTTGAACTTTATGGGCATTCTCTTCGAAGCCCATTTAGTTGACTTAGATTTAGCGTAGTCTCGGATCACTTTTCTTCCTCAACAATGGCGAAACGGAACTAGAAATCGAGAAAGAAGAGATCTGTTTAAGGTATTGAGATTAAACCTGAGAGACTCGTGAGAGATCTGTAGAAAGAAAGAAAAAATGGCATGGTTAGCCAGATCCATTGCAAATTCTCTGAAGATCGATGAGGATGAAGATGATGAAAAGGAAACTATTAAAGCCAACTCTATTGAAGATTCCGGTTCCGATATAGTTTCTTCGCCGTCGGCGTTGCAATCACAGTCTCCACGAGGCGTGAAGGAAGATATCTCTGAACTCACCAAGACCTTTAGAAGTCAGCTATGGGGTGTTGCTTCTTTCCTGGCGCCACCGCCTGCTTCTTCCGATTCGCCGGAGAAAAATCAGACGGACGATGGTGTGGAGGAGACTCGGAAGTCTTCGGATCTCGGCGAAGGTGACGAGGATCTGATTGCTGGGATTAGGAATGATTTCGTGGAGATCGGAGGTAGGTTCAGGACGGGGATCTCGAAGCTCTCCGGGAACTTACCGGTATCGGAGTTTACGAAGATCGCTTCGAATTTCTTGCAATTGGGCTCGGAAGGGGCGAATTCGAAAGAGCTCGATGTTGGAGATGCGATTGGTGTGACCGAGGAAGTGGTTGGGTTCGCGAGGGATCTTGCTCTGCATCCAGAAACATGGCTCGATTTTCCCTTCCCTGAAGAGGACAATGACTTTGATGGTACGTTTTCTAATTTCTAGTCGCTTCACATCGTAAATTTGTAATCAGATGATCCCCCAAGTACACATTTGATTGGAATCTAATTCAAAAGTGAGTGATCGAGTATATTGAGTAAGGAAGCTATGGATTATATACTGAATTGACTGACATCGACTTTCTGTTTTTGCTAGTTTTACTCTGATCACTTTAGAGTTTAAGAGTAGTTGGGATTCTCATATATCTTGATTGTGATTTTGAAAACGGAAGTGTTTGTCTTCGTTTGTTTCCGGTGTTTTTGTTGTTGTTAAGTGTCTTTCCAAATTCTCATTCATTTGCAGACTTTGAAATGACTGATGCTCAGTATGAGCACGCACTGGCCGTGGATAGGCTTGCATCGAGTTTGTCTGCTTTGAGGATTGAACTTTGCCCATCGTACATGAGCGAGAATTGCTTCTGGAGGATTTATTTTGTGCTTATGCATCCTAAATTCAGCAAACATGATGCCTTGCTTCTCTCAACTCCTCAGGTAAGCTTCATTCTCAATTCTATTGCTGATTGTTCTCGGTTGCTTTCCTCTGCTCTCATTTTTTCAAGCTTATCTGATGTAATGGTTTGTGTTACACCGGATGATCCTCTCTGCTAGTAAATGAACATTAGATAGTAGCATTTGAATTAGGTTCTAATGGTTGATTAGCAAAGTATATGGAATGCATTAATGATTAAACTAAATATGGAAAAAGAGTATAACTTTTCTGATGTGAATCAATGTGTTTTGCCTTTCTCTCGTCAAGGTGCTTGAATCAAGAGCACTGTTATCCCACGAGCTGCTGCACAAGAGAAACAAAGCTACAGTAATGGTGCCAGAGAGTAGTGATACAGGAGCTGCTAGTGCCAGTGTGGAGCCTCTCTCTCTCCCTACTAATTCTCCACCCGAACGAAAACCAGAACCTGAACCTGAACTAGTCAAGACCATCTCTGTCGAAGCGATACATTCGAGTGAGACATCCGAGTTTGAGACAGAGAAGCACACAATCGAGAGTAAAGAAATACAAGTTGTGGACAAGCCTGTCATCGAAGAAAGACCAGCACCAGCTCACCATGACAAGCCGGTGCAGAGCCCAGTCACTGGTTCTTCACCTAGAGTTATCGATGTGCAAGTCGATGATGATGCTGATGATTGGTTGAAAGATGAAGATAATGCAGGAACCGTTAACTCCACCGGAGCTACCAAACATGTTGTGGATGAGGATGAAGATGTATCCTTCAGTGATCTTGAAGAAGATGACGACGATGTGCCTGTGAGTTACAAAAAATGACATTCCTGAATCCTCAGACCAAAGACTTGAATCCTTACTCGAAAAGCTGTTGCTGCGGAAGAAGAATGTCCGGTCAGGTAAGCGAGAAAAGAACCAAACGATGGGCTTGTATGTTGATCACGAATATTGATATTATTTTAATGACCCTATCCGTTTATTACAATTATGTTTGTGAATAGTTTTCTTTTGTAACATTTACTTATGATAAAATGCCTGGCTTGTAAATAAAACAGCACCATGTGATAATTGTGATGAGGGGTTATGGTTGCGCAGAAATGTTAGAAATACATTGAAACCATTGATCATAAACCTTTAGCTTGATTGGTGATCGATACTATGTATAATTTTTTTTCCCTCTACTTCTAAACTTGATATATTGGTTCTAAATTAAATTTACTTGAACATTTTATATACAGAACTATGATGCAATTCAATGCATAAATAACATGAAACGTGTTTACTACGAAAGAAGCGAATATTGGAACTCTGACTTGATATGCCCTTTGCTTTTGTGAAACTGATCGATCCTCCGAATATATTGGGACTTTTGATATGGTCGAAGGAAGACAAACGTGTAATGTCATCAGATTGTAGAATGAGAACATGCCACGTGTTAATACACCTTGCCACGTGGAATTAACTTCCGTAATAGCGGTGAAATGAGACTGTGGCTTCAAAGAGACGCGACGGCTCGCCTCATCCAAAAACGTTTATCACCTCACCGTCCACGTGTCCGGCTGCGATTTCATGTAATTCCAACCTAAGTTCTTCTTCTCTCTCTCATTTTATAAGTTATATGTGATGACATTGGTAAGAAAAGTGCACCGCTATTATCCATTGGCTTCAACTTGTATAAATAGTTTATGCATTATAAAATAAGAAAATATTATTTTTATTAAGTTGATGAATGCAAGGCCGGAGCATTTCCAAAGGTCCTTAGACGAATGTACAATCGTTGCCCTTTTCTTTATTATTTAGAATCAATATAAGAAAAACTAAGGCAGAACTATATAGATCAAATCATTCTTTAGATCGGGAAAGTCGTTTGGAGAAGTTTCCAAACATGTGGAGAGGTGCTCTGATATAGTGACAAACATAAATCTACAAAGAACCATCACCATCTTATTATTGTATGAGTTGGACTCCCTTCTTTTTAGTAAGGTTTATGAACTGGTCCTTTGTGACCCAAAAAACCAAAATATATATATGAAAAATTAAATAGATTTTTTTTTTTGCTTTGTTTGGGTAGCCACGATAGATATGAACAAAACACCATACTAATCTTCAAAGTTAATTGTAAACTTTATATTCTTACAATTTAAAAACGCAAACAAAGTAATCTAAAAAACAGATTGATTAAAATATTATATTAGACTTGAAACTATAGTATAAATTTGGAAGTCCTAATAAACTTGAGCTTTAAGCCTTTAATCCACCGCTTCTGTCGCCCTGTGCTGCTGGTAGGGCTTAAATGAATGTGGCTTTTTTACATTCTTTTTTTATATATGTAAGCTTTTTAATCCCAAAATTCATTAGATTTTTATGTTTTTAATCTAGATCGTCTGGATTCGTTTAATAATGACATCTAATAGAAATAAAACGGGTTGGTGATTTCATTCATCTAGTGTTTATTTTTTTTTAATAAAAGCTTATGATTATCTTACAAAACTTCTATTCAGTTATAGTGTTGTTCAGGGTTTTATCATTTGACTATTTTAGTATGTTATACAAGTTATCATCTTAATGTAGTTTTAACGACGGAATCACATAATTTCACTTGTTCTTTTTGATAAATATGAGAAATAATAAAAATTTTAGTTATGTATTTCTAAATTATACTACTAAGAGTTAGTTACAAAGCTGCTGGTTTTTTCATTTTGGGTCGTCAAAAAATCGTTGGGTGTTTATCAATATTAAATGTTGCACGCATCATCCACGATCGATGTCATGAATCATGACCATGCACTTTATTGATGAGAGTTATAAATGAGAACTCATTTATAATATATGAAAAAAAACCATTATTTTTCTTGTGGATTAGGATTTGAGGAAGCTGTGGAACTTTATAGACTCCATAACTGACTTAAAATCCAACAACAACCCATCCATGCTCGAAGCTTCCAATAGAACCAATGGTTTTCTTCTTGTCTTACACGCATGTCTACACACGCACATATGCCCTTGTCTTCTTCATATCTACTTGATTTCAGATGCGAGGACCACAATTATTCATAAACCCTCCTCTTCTCTCTCTCTCGTTACAATTCTGTTATTCGCTTTGACGTCATGATTTGAATTCTTATCCAATTCCATTTTTTTATCAGAATTTTTTCTTTTTTATTCTCTCTATCATTCCCTACTTTGCTTCTTGGTTTGTTATACTGCTTTTGCTCTGTTTTCAATAAAGGTGGTTGCTTTCGTTGATTTTCCGTGAAAGTGAGAGAGAAAAAAAAGGGTTTAAGATGTCTGAGATTCCGGGTACTTAAGATTTCTCTCAAATTGTGTTCATTTTCTTTCTTCCTGATTCTGTAGTTATATGGATTTAGCTCTGGGCAAAAGGGGTTTTGATCTTGCTCTGAGGAACAAGAAGTGGATTCTACTAGCAGCGAGTGGTTATGGTGCCTTTAGGGTTTATCATTCTCCTTCAATTTCCCAGAAAAGGAAGCGAATCTCTAAGCTTTTTACCCTCCTCCTCAACCTCGTCGAAGCAGCCTCCGATTCCGCCGAGGCGGCTAGCGTAATCGCTAAGGATCTAACGGAGTTTCTCAGATCCGATTCCGATCAAATCCCAAACAGCTTGAAGCAGGTTTCCAAAATCGCCAAATCAGATGAGCTCAATTCGTCTTTAATCAGATTCACTCAGGCTATGACCGTCGGGTTACTCCGTGGGTACCGATTGGATTCCGGTAACGACGAATCAGGGTCGGGTTTTACGGATCGGGTCATGGATAAGCTCTTCACGAAATCCGGGTCGGGTTTTGCTTCCGCGATCGTCGGTAGCTTCGCTAAGAACTTGGTCGTCGCGCTGTATTCCTCCTCCGGCGAATCGCCGATCTTTTCAAATTCGAAATTGCTCGACGCGATTTGCTCCGACGACGGTAGAAGCTTAATCGGCGATTGCGTTCAGCGTTTCGTGACCACGGCGGTTTCGGTTTATTTAGACAAGACCAGCGACGTCAATGTTTTCGACGATTTATTCGCCGGTTTAACCAATCCTAAACACGAGCACAAGGTTAAGCAAACGCTTGTAATGGTATGTAACGGTGCGGTTGAAACGTTTGTGAGAGCGTCGAGAAGACAAACCACGGAACCGGGACTAGACCGATCATCGTCACAAACGCTGACCGTTGGATCAAAACCGACTTGGATCGATCGGGTTTCGTCGTCGTTGTCCGTACCGAGTAACCGGAAATACGTGGTGGATTTAACCGGGAGAGTAACGTTTGAGACGGTTAGATCGTTGTTAGAAGTGTTGATCGAGAGAGCAAATGGAAAAGTGGAGAGTTATGTGGAGAAAGTTAGAGAGAGAGGAAATGAGACGAGGAGATTCGTGAGAGTTAAATCTTCTCTTCTTCATAGTTTATGTCTTTCTCTGTGTTTACAGATTGTTGAAGCTCCATGGATGCTGACTCCAAGACACTGATCAGGCTAAAATACAAGAAACAGTTTTTTTTTTTTTTTTTTTTTTTTCTATTATACACTTTTGTGCTTTGTTTGATAATTCTTGGATTCAATCAAATTCGATGTAAAATTGTTTTGTTTTTTTTTCAAAATTTGAGAAGATACTGAGAAAGATGATTGTTTTGACTGTTTTGAAAGAAAGCAATGGGTATGGGTTTGAATGTTTTGGAGTTGGATATTTGGATAATGATAAGCGTGGGACATTATTTGGTAGACTCTTGTCGATAATATGGTAATATGGATATAGTTGCTGAATGAGTATCGTGACGTGGATGATGTGACAAGGCCCATATACAGTATGTTATTATTATGAGAAAAAGTCAAATTAGGAACAAAGAATGTTTCGTGTTATCTAGAAAACATAGTTGATAACTCTCACATCTTCATCAGATATTGCTACATCAAATGACTCTTTCCAAATATGGTAATGACTGGTTGCAAGAATTGCAGCGCCATGAACAATATTGATGGCAGGTTATAGCCAAAAAAAAATTACGAACTAGCCCAAACTTTTTAATTTGACCTTTTTTTTAAGTTCTCTGTTGAAGCAATATCTTCCTCTTTCTCCATAATCTCATTACATCATGTCATTCAGATTTTCTCCATAACAGATGATAATTATATCATCAGTCCATGATTCTAAAAAGATCCATTTGTTTAAGATGGAACAAAAGTCTCTAAAAATTCATGCAAACAAAATACTTAAAAAAATTCCCTACGAACTTAGACCTTATTTTAATTAAATAATATAACGGCTTCAATCATCAGAAAGAAAAACAAAAAGCATGTTCCTTCAAAACATTTCTCACATAGAAAATGATTAAAAATATATATTATATAATATAGACCAGTCCATTCATTTTCATAAAACTAAACATTTTTTTTGAAAGAATTGAACACAATTTTCAACCATCAATAATAACATCTCTGATGACATTCAATTTCCACTATTACCACTCAAATCCCTTAATCAGAAACTATAATTTCTTTTCTTTCTTTGAGAACCGGGAGAATCTTAGGCTGACGTCCACACTGATCCTGTAAAGTCCTTAAGAATTCGAGTTTTCTGTGTAACTAAGAATTCGAAATACAGTTTTTGTCCTTTCTTTTTTATCAGTAATGAACTTCGGATTTTTTTTGTTGTCGACCAAAAAAAGAAAAAAAAAACTTGATTTTTACGTGTGTGTTTTTGTATGAGGGCCTTAGCCCACATTGAACGTATCATTACTCTATTGGCCCAGTAAGAAGCTTCTGTCTGATAGGGAGGTGCCGAGGTGTTAGAAAAGTAGGTCTTCACAAGAAAAGTCAGCTACTTTTATTTCCAAGTCAACTCGTCCAATTTTAAGACAAAACAAAATACAGCTGGTGGTTACAACCAAACTCGAAAGTCGAAACGGAATTAAAAATTTTTTTTTATAATTTTTTTAAAACCTTTTCTGAAACGGAATTAAGATCTTTGTTGTGACTTTTAATATAAACCTTAGAAAATAAAATAGCGAATTAACCAAAAAAATTAAAATAGCGAAACCAATTTGATAATCCATAATTATAGAACGAGTGTGAATAATAACAACTCTCAAAGTAACAGCAAAAGTAGCAATAACAAAATTGAAAAAAAGAAAGAAAAAAAGAACATAAAACAGAAAGTACAGTGATAGGTTTGATAATGTAATTGCTAATTAATTGGCCTAATATATCAATTTAGTTCTTGTGATTTTGAGTGTAAATGTAATCGGTGTGAGCAACAAGGGTCCGTCTAGTTAAACATTCTTCTTCTCCAAGTCCTTTGCAGCTTTCTTCTTCAACCTTATCTCCTTCAATTTCCTACAGATATATAATAACAAAATATGCACGTCCTTGTAAATTACTTTTGGTATATTACAAAAGAATCAACTACACGAATTCATATATTAAAGGACCATGCATGCAAACTTTTTTGGGGTTTTATTGTTACTTTAGATTCTTAGATGAAAGCTCATATTGACTAATCTAGGTGTATGCACTTTCATATATATATGAAAATTTAATCTAGAATCGATCATATATTCATATGTACTCTTTCCTTGCCATTTGCTAATGCGTGGAAATATGATGAGTTTAATTTTTTTTTTTGTAAGTGATATTAAAAAAAAAAAAACTACTTTTTGTAGTAAAAAATATTCCGGATCATTTCACCCATGTCTCCCTTGATCTGACACTAGTTTTAAAGTGTAAATCATCTATACAGAGATTCCATATTGCAAATATGTTTTGAGTTGCAATATCCTGAATGAAGAAAAAATAAAGAAGTTAACAAACCTTGACGGTGTCTTCTCTGGAAGAAGCGGTGGTCATCGTCGGCGTCAGCCGGGCTGCGTAGGTTAGCGTTGAACAGAGAAGAAGAGCCATGATTATAATGGTTGTGATTTTAGTCATATTGATGTGTTAAGAAGAGAGAGAGAGAGAGAATTATTGTTAGATGTGAGGATGAATAGAAGATGAAGTCAGTTAGGTGAATTTATAGAGAAACACGAGTTGACAAACAGCGAGATGCTGCCAAATGTGAACCATAGGAACCTGTAAAGGGTATATATATTTTTATTTCTTTTGAACGGCGTAAAGGGTATATTTACAATTCGTATATATCGCTCATATTAATCGAATTTAAATTTAGATTTTGTTAGTTTTAATTAAGTAAGAAGATGCGCTTTTAGTCTTTTATTCATGGCTTGTGAGATTATTTCTTGGTCCTACTAAATTATTTGATACTATTTTGTGTGTGTGAATGATGGCTCAAAAAAGCGAATATCATGTGACAGGCAAAAAAAGGTGATCGGTGGATTAGCTCAAAGACATTTTTATTTAAATTATATCGGAAAGTGTTTCAGTAAAACATGAGTGGGGTTATTAACTATATGATTATATGAATGTTTTAACGCGAACATAGTTTTATTCGTTGTTGGGCGCACAGCCGACCTAAGATGTATAATATATACTCTGAAACTTGATTGATCAGAGTCAAAATATATACTTATATATAAGATAATTGTGTGTATTAGAAAAGAAGAAACAAATTATTTGAAGGTTGAATTTGTTGGTGGTGGATATATATATGAATGGAAAAGATTCACCTAATGAATAATGATTCTCACGTGCAGCTGAATGTAAAGAAGACTTGTGGAAAATTAAGTGATGTAATAATAATAATTGACCAAGAAATAGTTGTTTTACTAAATCAACAATTATCAAAACAGTTAATACTGTAGTTTTGGTGATATTCTAGAATGCCGTAGAAGTTAGAACCTCATAACCTCATCTCACGTCATAGTTGAATTGCTGTTTTTGTTTGTTTTGATGACCTAAAGTAGATTGGAACTAATATCAAAATAAGCATTTGTATCATATGTTGGTCAATTGTTTAAAATCTATGGATGATAATATTGCCTGAAAGAAGAATAAATTAGCTGATATAATCTTCAAAATTCGGTCAAAAGAATAGGAAAAGAGCTTAGCAAAGTCTGCTTTCTGTTTCAAACCTATATTGAATATTAATTCCATTCACATCTCATATGTATGCGAGACAACTTTTTTTCTAACCATTTTATTTTACCCCAGTCATGTCGTCTAAGTAAATTTACAGACCAATTTATTTGAATTTTTGTCTACGAGATTGGATTATTCACTGATTTTTTTTTTATTGATCGTATTTTGAAATTAAAGTATGATTTCTAAAAAGCCCCTTTTTCTTTAAGTCTGTAAAACCATTATTTCGAAGGAGTTTTACCGTTATGACAAAATAAAACGAAGAATATTTTATTGATGAAGTTCATCTTCCCAAACCGAAAGTTTAAAGAAGAAAGGCATTTTCAATTGCTGATTGATTAAGTAACCCAACATTCTTCGGTCAAGATCCAAACTCCAAAATATTCGTGATTATCTTTCTTTTTATAAAACAAGTAAACAACGAACAAAGAGTATTCTTCTTGGGATATTAGTAATGCTCTGTTTTTTTTTGTTGCCATGTTTTCAAATACTAAAGATTCTCTTCTTACCATATTTTTTGATATTTTCAATAGTACAATGCTCAATATTTATTAGTATTAACATCTTTGAAATGGGTCGAATACCACTTATTTTTTTTTTTCTATAACTCACACACAGAGTTCCAATGTGGTGACTATTTTTATATATCAGAAGATGCTCCTGAGTCCTGGCTATCTTTGTTGTTTTGTTTTTGAAAAACGTTATTTAATTATAGTTTTTGGAAAACCTTATTTAATTATAGACGTTTATTAAGAATCAAACTCCATGAATATACATTCTGTATATGGTACGTTGAATTTAGTGAGAATAGAAAGTTCTTAAAAAAAGATTTTTTTTTTCATCTTTTTTTTTACTCTTCTAGATTGATTTAGATGACTATTTAAGGTCACGCCAAATTGTAATAATTGATTTAATATTCAATGGTCAATATATATACGTGAGAACAATTAAAACCACAAGAAAAGTGAAGAAAATTAAATGCTTATCCCAAATCCAAATTGATTAATATAAAGTTTTATAGATGATTGTCACAATGAGAATTTATGAGCAAATCCTGACCTTTTTAATTTGACAGCGACTTTCTTGAGTTGTATATATGCCTTTTGAAATATATTTTTTCATACGGAAATTATACTTCAACAATATAGATGTATCAATGCTTAAAACAGTAACCAGTAAAACATTTTATGTCTATTTTCGGCCATATTCTTCTTTGTTCCATCTACAATTTTTAGCATCGTAACATATTCTATTACTTTCAATCCGAATTTACATAGATACTCTACATAATCATTGAAAATAATGATATATAAAGTGGGAACTGAAGTTAAACGATGTTTTAATCTCACTTAATAACAGATATACAAATTCATCGTTTCATTTTGTTGTAATCGGCTTCAGTCTGATGCAATATTCATGTCTGACTACTATTAACGGCACCATGAAATTCTAATATCCATTTTGTATTTTTATGGGTAAATGGCCCCGATTTTATAGAATCTATACCAATCATTCTGTGCCATGATCTATACTTCAAAAGATACGTATTGAAACTCCTGATTCACACAGACTTCACAATAATTGCAGCCCATGCATGTGTTGAAACTCCCTCTTCACAACGTGTGGTTGATAATTATAAAATCAATAGAGAGTGAGAGATATTAAGTAAAAAGGGCCCATATTTACATCCATCAAGGATGTGAAGATCATCTTCTGGCATGTTTGGTAAACAGCCAATGAATTGCGATCATCCATTTAATAGTGAAAAAACTAAATAACAATAAACAAATAAAAGTTGATGAAATTTTGTTCTCCAAATTATCTCCAATATTGGCCTTCAACAATTCGTTCGGTGTTACATCGTCGAAGCTCTAATGTCGCAAAATAGCTACTCTATGGCCGCAAGCTTATATCAATATATGGATTCTCGGCTAAAAAGTGAGAGTTCTATAAATAAATATTTTTGGGTCTGGATCGAGAAATCGTCTCGAACATTTTGTCAGGAAATGCTGGCAAAAGGACAAATCAAAAGCATTTTTGGGAATAATGTTAATTTGTAACCACAACTTTAATTTGTTTATCACATGACTCGTGGGGTTAAATAGGAAAGCGTATACAATCATTTTTTGAAAACACCAGTTTGCATGTGAACACGAGGATCATATATTGGTACAATTAGTAAGACGTTCACATTGGTCAACATTGAGGGAGTCGAATTATAGAAGATTTGATAACGATGGTCTACGTTCTGAAGAAAATGAAAAGAGAAAACTTATCGACACCATGATAGTTCAGACTTCAGTGTTTGGATAGTTTCGATCGGCTTATTAATAGTTATCTTTCCTAATAAAAAAGAGAGTGAACTATTAATTCCGAAAAATATTAATTAAGAAAATAATAACTCAAAAACTATGCTATATATGTCTTTATACGGTATTTATCCGGACGATTAGAAAAAGAAATTTTATTTCGTCGACAAATTATGCGATTTCAAATAACTAATTTCAATTGTGATTGAAAAAAGCACATAAATAAATTACAGCTTTTATACGAATTTGATGCAAATTTTTTTTTTTTTAATAACTAGGCCTCTACTTACTAGATTTAGAACCGGGTTACATTATATTCGGATGCTGAGTTGAACGTGTCGAACATAAAGTTATTTATATATTTGGTTTAGAGATGTCCAACCGGCCAACCCGCATTCAAGTAGCCCGATTTAATGCGGGTTTAAATTTTTTTCGGGTCTGGCGGGCTGGCCCATTATAAGCTGCGGTTCCAAATTGATGTGTCTAAATCCGATCCGCGTATACTCTACAGGTTTGCGGGCTGGCCCGCGAGTTCATACTTTCTTCTTCATCTTAAAGTTTTTATGACATTTAGACTTATAGAATCAGAAAATCTGCAAGAGAAGAATAAAGTTTGCTCGTAACTGAATCACAATATGCATAAGAAACAAAACTAAAGAAAATTCTTGTCTAAATAAATTCGATAAATAAATAAACGAATTCGATAAACCTCTTATACAAAACTCCTTGTCCTAGGATGCTATAAGATTCGAAAAATTAATTTAATGTAAAAATAGCGACTTAGTTTTCAAAAGCAAATAAATGAATTACAAATAATGATACACATCAAAACTGATAATTTAAGCTAGAGAACCATCAAGATACAAGCAACAAGACATTCACATATAAAATCAAAGAAAAAAAGATGAACAAAGCTTATTTATTAGTCCAGCGTACAAACAAATATAATTCTCAAGCAAAACTATTTATTGTCAATTCAAGATTTAAGCGATTCTAAATTACCTTTGCATCACTGCAGACAAAATAAAAACCACGTCCGTGATATAACCGATGAGCAAAACCAACAAAAAAAAACAAACTTATGACAATAAACTAAAATTAAAACCCTAAAAAAAATTAGTTTTTAGTTGAGAAGACAACGACCAGATGTTCTCCCAAATTCAAAAATCCAATCACAGAATTTGAATCGAATATAAAACACATACCAGTTTGATGATTCCTTGATCTCATTAAAATGAAGCCATCACAAAGCCCAACAGCTGAATTGTGTGACTCTATTAGGCTTCGATTCACTCCATGAAACTACTATTTCGAACTTCACCAATCAAAGATGACAAAATACTTCACTTTTTTATCTTAACAAGAAAACATCAAATCCTGCGGGTTGGACCGCAAATCCGTGGATCCACTCTGACCCGACCCGCAAAAACCCAACTTCCATGCGGGTTTGGACTACGAAACCCGCTTTTTATTTAAACAAATTTTATGAAGCCCAAACCCGTAACGCTGCGGTTCTACTTGGGCCGAACCCGTGGGCCAGAGCCCTGACACCTCTAATTTGGTTTGTAGATCAACATATCGAATCTATAGAACTTTTTTGATGATTTATTTTTTTTTAAAATTGATGCATTATA